CTGCTAGAACTCTGCTGTAAACTATTTCATGTTTCTTTGCATTTTTTGGCGTTTTTTATATTATTTGTACAAATAAGTCACCATGGGACCTACGAAGATTAGTGATAACAGTCAACCAAAAAGAAAATTGGTTTAGAAAAATTCGTTCAGCACTTGAACAGTCTTCTGGAACGAACTGAGTTTGAGTACCAAGGTTCCACTGTATTTTCCAAGAAAAGCAGGCCTTAGACAGGGATTGTGTGATGTCACCATGGTTGTTTAACATATCTGTAGATGAGCTTGTAAAAGAAGTGAACACTATGATGATTAGGAGAGGTGTGGGACTAAAAAATAACAATTCTGATACAAAGTAAGAGTTTTCACAGTTGCTTTTTGTCAGTGACATGGTTCTTTTGGGAGATTCTGAAGAGAAATTGCTAAGGTTAGTGGAGGAATTGGGGAGGGTATGTAAAAGCAGAAAATCAAAATTGAACATAGGAAAGAGCAAGGTGATAAGAGTAACAAAAATTCTAGGCAGTAAAAGATTGGACATCAGATTGGAGGGAGAGAGTACAAAGGAAGTAAATGTGTTCATATATTTGGGAGTGGACTTGTTGGTAGATGGGTCTATGAAAGACAAGGTGAACCACAGATATGATGAGAAAAAGCTGGGTGGTGCATCAAGGCATCTATTTAGACAAAGTAGTTCATCTCTGGAAGGATATATACCAGAGTATAATAGTACCAACACTGTTATATGAGTGTGAAGAATGGAGTTTTAAATTTTTCAGTGAGGCAGAGCCTGGAGGCAGTGGAGATGTCATATTTGAAGGCAATGTGTGGTGTGAATATTATGCCAAAAACTTTAACCTTGGATACTGGAAGGAATGGGGATTACCAAAATTATTATTTAAAGAGCTGAGCTGAGGAAGAGCTGATGAGATGGTTTTGACATCTGGAGAGGATGAAGAAAAATAGGATGATTACGAGGGTGTATAAATCTGGAGTGGAGGGCAGGAGGTTATCTCAAGAAAGGTTGGAGAGAGGTTGGTAAAAAAGGTTTTGAGTGTTAGGGGATTGGACATCCAATAGGCTTGTGTGAGCATATTATAAAGAAATGAGTGGATGCAGGTAGATTTTGTGACTTTATGTGCTGTTGAAGTGTGAACAAGGTGGCCCGTGGCCTGGTGGCAAAGCTCTTGCTTCACGTGGCAAGGGTCCGAGTTTGATTCCCAGCAAGGGTAGAAACTTCAGGTGTGTTTCCTTACATCGACTGCCCACGTTCACCCATCAGTAAAGTGGGTACCTGGATGTTAGTCGACTAGTGTGGATTGCATCTTGGGACAAAACTGACCTAATTTGCCTGAAATGCTCTGCATAACAAGGGGCTTCCTACACAGTAGTAGTATGTCACTGATGTCAGCTAGGCCTGTATATCTTGTACATGTACTTGTAGAAATAAAGATATTATTATTATTATTATTATTATTATTATTATTATTATTATTATTATTATTAGTTTGTGAAGGAATTAAGGAAACCAGTTGTCCAGACTTGAGTCCTGGAGGTGGGAAGTATACTGTGCATGCACTCTGGATGAGGGGTGGGGATGTTGCAATTTGGAGGGTCATCTGAACTGTAATGTTAGCATGACTTTGGTAAGACTGATTGAATGAGTGACAAGTGTGTTTCCACTTTCTCGGGTTATCGTACTTCACCGAGAGACGACTGGTGTGTAAAAAAAAAAAAATTCTTGTGTAATTTCCAATGTGAATTTCTTAACACTCAGTATAAACTTACAAATATGGTACTAGCATTTTCTTTACTGTAAATTATTTTAGTAGTTTAGGTTAAGTTATACCATATAAGCCTATAATACAGACTGTATAATTAACTACAAAGAAATAAAAAAAAAAAAAACCAACTGCTGGATATCTGGTAATGCAGTAACTGTGCAACACTAACAAATATTTAAATCAGACAATATGGCTATTTAAAAAGTAGGCATCAAAGCCAAACAAGTCATAGGGTACACCAAAATTACAGAATTTGAAATGAGAAACTAAGTATAAACTGCTAGGGATGTGGAAGATGACAGATGTAATACCTATTTATAAAAGAGGAGCAAGGTCCCTAACTCTGACTTACCACTGTCTTCAAAAGTGGTAAAATTACTGACACAAAAATATAGAGTAATTCAATGTTGTCTTGGTGAGCAGATTCTTATAAGGAAGTCTCAACATGGTTTTACAAGAGGTTGTACTTGTCTAATATATTTACTAACCTCTTTCACACAGCTGTAGTACTGATATCAGTGAATAATGAATACTACCTTGTTACGTTTTTTATCTACAGTTCAGCTAGATATTAAATATGGCTCTACATACGAGAAAAAAAAGTGGCAGCTCACGATGTTGTAGAACAAATTCTTTCCAAGATTAAAGTACGGAAATGGTGTGTTTGCATAGGCTGAGTGAAATCAGACTAAGGATACATGACAAATGGTATTCTACATGGATCAGTATTTTGCCTCTTGTTCACAATTTACATACAATGGCCTTGATAAAAGAATTAACAGTAGCAAGTAAGTTGGCTGATGACAAAAATACACTGTGTAAGAAAGGTATAAAATACCAACAATATGAAAGTTTAGACACATGTGCAACATCTGGATATCTTTATTGTAGACATTTTGCCACCAGTGGCTTTATCAATACAAATTCTAGGACATAATTAAAAGACAGTAGAACTATATACAAAAGATGAGGTAATCAGTCCCTAACACTAACTCCAAGGCTGAGGGACTGATTACCTCATCTTTTGTATATAGTTCTACTGTCTTCTAATTATGTCCTAGAATTTGTATTGATAAAGCCACTGGATGGCAAAATGTCTACAATAAAGATATCCAGATGTTGCACATGTGTCTAAACTTTCATATTGCCGGTATTTTATACCTTTCTTACACAGTGTATTTTTGTCATCAGCCAACTTACTTGCTACTGTTAATTCTTTTATCAAGGCCATTGTATGTAAATTGTGAACAAGAGGCAAAATATCCAGATGTTGCACATGCATCTAAACTTTCAAAAATACACTGCTATATATATGTTCGCCAGAAGACACCGTGGAGCTTTAGGATGATTTTCTTCAATGAGCATTGACAGGGCATGTGGCAGATACAGTTTAGAGTTAAATAAAATGGCTTGACACATCTAACCAAGATAGAACTCTTATCAGTGGAATAAAATTGGACAAAATCTGATTTAAAAAGGATGGATTTGATTACATAACATTTTTTTTTTATAATGTTCTTGAGGGCACACAGATATAGACACACAAAATGTACATTATGTATATTTAACCTAAGATAACCCAATAACTTCTATGCGATTTATTTCCACTGCAAAAATTGGAAAATATAATCTTTTGCAACAGTTATTAAGTGGAGCAAACTATGAAGAGCATCATTAAATCAAGTACTCTACTTTAGGCTGGTTAAATATAAATTGGTGATTCACGAAATCGTAATGACACGACTGCAAACAAACCATACCACAGGCTAACACGACGGTCTGGAGTTTTGAGACTCTCTGATCGCGAGTTCTATCCCCGCCCGTGGTATGGTTTATAAACTGGTGATCTGAGAGTGAAAAGTTGGACTCACTCATGGGTCAGTAGGCCTGTCACTGTGAATCTGTAATGCATTTACATTTTTAAAAGTTAAATTATTTCGGTGTGAATTATTATAATTACAATCAAAACTAAGCGCTAAACCCACAAAGGTCAAACAGCGTTGATTTCGGTGTGAAAGTACAAAATAAAACACCTTTGCAGCCCTACGAAGTTACAAAGCTCGAAGATCTAGACACACACAGATTTCTTTCTAGGCAAAGTATGTGTCACACTATAAACAGCTTTAGAAATGAAAATCTTTGAGATAGAACTTAACTTGAAAATTAATCAAATATCTGGTTATAATACATTACAGTGTCACTTACATCAGCCATCTTTTTGTTGGGTGTTATAAGGGCAACTGACAGCTTACTCTGTATCCAGCCCTGCTGCCCGATGTATTTTATATTTTATATCTTCATTTCTACAAGTACATGTACAAAGTATACAGTCTTTGCTGACATCAATGACAATACTGCTATATAGAAAGCACCTTGTTATGTAGAGCATTTCGGGAAAATTAGGTTAATTTTGTCCCAGGATGCTACCCACACCAGTCAACTAACCCAGGTACCCATTTTACTGATGGGTGAACAGGGACAACAGGTGTAAGGAAATACGCCTAGCGTTTCTACCCTTGCTGGAAATCGAACTACGGACCCTCAGCGTGTGAATTATTATTATTATTATAATCAAAAAAGACTCAGCGTGTGAAGCGAGGGTTTTGCCTACCAGGTTATGGGCCACGGGCCTGGTAGGCAAAACAAGAGCTGATTTCCTTTGGTGTCCTTATGTCCTTTTCCCTATGCATTATTATTATAATAAAAAAAAGCGCTAAGCCACAAGGGCTATACAGCGCTGCAACCTTCAACAGTAAAATATATCTAAAATGCTCCGTATAAGTATCAGTGACTTTCCAATAAGCTTGTAAGCCATGCCACTTATTTTTGAATGACAATGACAACCTCATTTCTTTGGGTAAATACAGTATACAGTTGATATAGCATTAATTATCGTGTGTAAACTACTTTATAGAAAGTTCCTTGTTGTGTAGGGCAGCCTTAAAATAAACTTCGGTCCAAGCCGGACCGAAACAGTCGTAAGTTCCAGTCTCTTACGTGCGGGTTTTTCCTGAACAGTTAAATAATTATATCAGTTTTCTAGAAAGCTGATATGCAGTCTTTGATTTTTTATATAACAGTTTATGATTTATGACATTTAGTATTTGTATGTAACAATTTGGCATATGTTGAAATATAGTGGTCAAAGTGAGAATATCAATATGATTTAGATAAGCAGGGTCGCTGTTGATAAATTGGGTTTTAAAATAATTAAGGAGGACTTACGTTAAGTTTAGGCGGCGCTTTTGAACTTTCGTAACCATTGTAGGCTTTTCTGGAAATAAATTACGTTTTCATTTCCAAATAAAACTAAAGTATCTATTTTCTGCTAGATGAACAGAGGCAGTAAATGAAAAAAATGCTCAGATGTTTCGCATCGCAGTGAGCTATATTTCCTGGTGTCAGGAAAACACATATTGTTTGGATCAAGGAGGAACTAGGAAAAGAAACGTGTTTTCAAATAGGGGGAGATCTGTCTGCCTAAAAATCAATATATAGCTAGACAGTAATACCCTACCCAAGTTCATGACTGAGATGAGAACTTCGGGCAATTTTAAATATAGGTTGGACTATTACATTGGTGAGTGTGATTTGGGTCTGCCTGGCATGTACCACTAGGTATATTGCAGTGTTCCTTCATTAAGATTACCTGGAGAGAGTTCCGGGGGTCAACGCCCCCGCGGCCTGGTCTGTGACCAGGCTTCCTGGTGGATCAGAGCCTGATTAACCAGGCTGTTACTGCTGGCTGCACGCAATCCAACGTACGAGCCACAGCCCGGCTGGTCAGGTACCGACATTAGGTGCTTGTCCAGTGCCAGCTTGAAGACTGCCAGGGGTCTATTGGTAATCCCCCTTATGTATGCTGGGAAGCAGTTGAACAGTCTCGGGCCCCTGACACTGTATTGTCTCTTAACGTGCTAGTGACACCCCTGCTTTTCATTGGGGGGATGTTGCATCGTCTGCCGAGTCTTTTGCTTTCGTTGTGAGTGATTTTCGTGTGCAAGTTCGGTACTAGTCCCTCTAAGATTTTCCAGGTGTATATAATCATGTATCTCTCCCGCCTGCGTTCCAGGGAGTACAGGTTCAGGAACTTCAAGCGCTCCCAGTAATTGAGGTGTTTTATCTCCGTTATGCGCGCCGTGAAGGTTCTCTGTACATTTTCTAGGTCAGCAATTTCACCTGCCTTGAAAGGTGCTGTTAGTGTGCAACAATATTCCAGCTTAGATAGAATAAGCGACCTGAAGAGTGTCATCATGGGCTTGGCATCCCTAGTTTTGAAGGTTCTCATTATCCATCACGTCATTTTTCTAGCAGATGCGATTGATACAATGTTATGGTCCTTGAAGGTGAGATCCTCCGACATGATCACTCACAGGTCTTTGACGTTGGTTTTTCGCTCTATTTTGTGGAAGGAATTTGTTTTGTACTCTGATGAAGTTTTAATTTCCTCATGTTTACCGTATCGGAGTAATTGAAATTTCTCATCGTTGAACTTCATATTGTTTTCTGCAGCCCACTGAAAGATTTGGTTGATGTCCGCCTGGAGCCGTGCAGTGTCTGCAATGGAAGATACTGCCATGCAGATTCGGATGTCATCTGCAAAGGAAGACACGGTGCTGTGGCTGACATCCTTGTCTATGTCAGATATGAGGATGAGAAACACGATGGGAGCAAGTACTGTGCCTTGTAGAACAGAGCTTTTCACCGTAGCCGCCTCAGACTTTACTCTGTTGACTACTACTCTTTGTGTTCTGTTTGTGAGGAAATTATAGATCCATCTACCAACTTTTCCTGTTATTCCTTTAGCACGCATTTTGTGCGCTATTACACCATGGTCACACTTGTCGAAGGCTTTTGCATTCTGCATTCTTTTTGTCTTCTAGTGCATCTAGGACCTTGTCGTAGTGATCCAGTAGCTGAGACAGACAGGAGCGACCTGCTCTAAACCTATGTTGCCCTGGGTTGTGTAATTGATGGGTATCTAGATGGGTGGCGATCTTGCTTCTTAGGACCCTTTCAAAGATTTTTATGATATGGGATGTTAGTGCTATCGGTCTGTAGTTCTTTGCTATTGCTTTACTGCCCCCTTTGTGGAGTGAGGCTATGTCTGTTGATTTTAGTAACTGTGGGACGACCCCAGTTCCATGAGTCTGGCCCTGGGGCAGAGTGCATGGGCATGTCATTTATCGCCTGTTCGAAGTCATTTGGTGCCAGGATAATATCAGATAGGTAAGATTTTGTTCGGGCTTTTAACCTGGAGAGTTAGCCACCCAGGATAACCCAATAAAGTCCGTGTGTTATGGAGGTGTCTTATTTCTATTGGGTCCTTTAATCTTGTTTCCCAGGATGCTACCCACAGCAGTCAGCTAACACCCAGGTAACTACTTACTGCAAGGTGGACAGGAACAGCAGATGTAAGGAAACATATCCAACGTTTCACTCATGCCGGGGCTTGAGCCATGAGCACTCAGTATGTTAGGTATGTTCGTTGCTAACCGAGCCATGGCACGCCTGCTGCCTTTGTTCACCTAGCAGTAAGTAGGTACTTGGATAAGATAAGATAAGATAAGATTTCGTTCGGATTTTTAACCCCAGAGGGTTAGCCACCCAGGATAACCCAAGAAAGTCAGTGCGTCATCGAGGACTGTCTAACTTATTTCCATTGGGGTCCTTAATCTTGTCCCCTAGGATGCGACCCACACCAGTCGACTAACACCCAGGTACCTATTTGCTGCTAGGTGAACAGGACAACAGGTGTAAGGAAACGTGTCGAAATGTTTCCACCCGCCGGGAATCGAACCCGGGCCCTCTATGTGTGAAGCGGGAGCTTTAGTCACCAGACCGACTGTTGTGGGTCGCATCCTGGAGGGACAAAATTTAAGGACCCTAATGGAAATAAGACAGACAGTCCCCGATGGCCCACTTTGTTGAGTTATCATGGGTGGCTAACCCTCCGGATTAAAAATCAGAGCAAAATCTTATCTTATTCTGTGAGCGGTAGTCTTATGTTCTTGTATTCCTATCTATTACCAGAGGACGGATTTGATATCCTATTTGAGGTCCTCAACTGCTCTGGTTTCGACCCAAACGTAATGGTTATATTCCTTTCCCCGAGCCACGGGCATATTGAGCATTATCTAACCTAAGTTAGTTTAGTAGCTTTATTATGCACCCCATACCCATCCTGTCGGCGGTAGTCAAAAGATTACAAAAGCGTATTATGGGTAGCTGGATCGCTTGCGCACTCAGCTCACACACTGAGGTCCGGGGTTCGAATCCCCTCCGGTACGGCTAAAAAACATTAGGGATGTGTTTCCATAAGACACCTGCTGTCTCTGTTGACCTGGGTGTTAGTGGACTGGTGTGGGTCGCATCCCGGGACAAAACTGACCTAATTTGCCCGAAATGTTCAGCATAACAAGCGGCTTTCTATATAGTATTATGTAATTGATGTCAGCTAGGACTGTATACCATGTACTTGTAGTAAATAAAAATATTATCTTATTATTAACAAACTTTATTTCTTTCTGTAGATGACTGGTTCAGAGAACCGACAAGTTGATAACTTGAACACATGTGCAACACTTGGGTATCTTATTGAGGAAACGTTTCGCCACACACTGACTTCATCAGTCCATGTAAAGGAGAATGGTGAAGAACAGGAGGAGTTTGAGGTAATCAGTCCCTCAACCTTGAGTCTATGTTCTCTGAACCAGTCATCTACATTCATGTCAGAGAAAGCAACATCTTGGGATCCTAATACAGGGAATTCTTCACTTGCCTAACCTTTAGGCACGACTTACTTCCACATTTGACAAATGTGATACCACCTACGACTGCTGCACCTCTCCTGCCTACAGTATATAAGCCACTTCTTCGCATATATGCTGTATTCTTTTCAAGATTGATGGACTGATTACATCGATTCAAGGCTGAGGGACTGATCACCTTAAACTGCTCCTGTTCTTCACCATTCTTCTTTATGTGGACTGATGAAGCCACTGTGTGGCGAGAAACGTTTCCTCAATAAGATACCCAAGTGTTGCATATGTGTCTAATTTATCATTTATTTATTTCTGCAGTATTCAAAATGTAGTTAACATTCAATAAAATATTATGCACAGCAGAAAACCAGAATGCGGTGCATGCTAGTGGCTTCCTTTTGTCCCTTACCACTAGCATGAACTGCTTGCTAGTGGTAATGAACCATTTACATGTTTATATCTGGTTGCAATCGTAATGAGTTATTTATGCAGGCATGAATTATATCACAAAAATATTTCAAAAACATTACCTTATATTTTAGCAAGGTATGCTTGTAAAAAAAAGTGGTTTTGCGTTATTTACAGTGGGGAACCCCTCAAGGCAGGTTCCTTGACTCTGGTGAGGGGCTCTTGATCTAGGGAATTGGATCTGTACTCCAGTTCCCTGAATTGAGCCTGAATACCTTTCATTCCCCCCACATGCGCTGTATACTCCTACGGGTTTAGTGCTCCCCTTAATAATAATACAGTGGACAAAATCTGGGTATTTTTCCAGAATGGTTGGTACTATGCCACTTTGACATTTTATGAACATTTTTGAATGAGTTGTCTCTAAATTCTTTGGTTTTACCGCATTCCAGCACACAATGGCTGTACCCTGACTCCAATGTCCACAATTTTACCACACCTGTATATGGCTTCTGACACAAACATGGCACAATTGATGCTCAAGGATTTAAGAGCATTTATGGATGATAAGGAATCATCCATGATACATGGATGCATTTGAGTACGAGGTGTGAATGTTTTTATATTATAATAATATCTTTATTTGCTACAAGTACATGTACAAGGTATATAGGCCTAGCTTACATCAATGACATACTACTGTATAGAAAGCCCCTTGTTATGCAGAGCATTTCGGGCAAATCAGGTCAGTTTTGTCCTAGGATGCGACCCACACCAGTCGACTAACACCCAGGACCCATTTTACTGATGGGTGACCTAGACAACCGGTGTGAGGAAACACGTCCAATGTTTGCACCCCTTCGCCGGAAATCGAACCCGGGCCCTCACCGTGTGAAGCGAGAGCTTTTGCCACCAGGCCACGGGACAGGGCTCATAGGGCAAAAGCCGTCGCAACCCTTAAAACAACGAAATAAAAATAAAAACAATACCAACAACTAACACTGGAAATAAGTCACTTTGTCTGACCTTTTTTTGGGGTTATATTAGGTAATTTACACATATGTTAAACTATTTATGATAATTGTACTTTTATGTACGTGTGCCTTAAAAACTTACTGATTTCAGCTAACAATAACAAAGACGTTACGTATGTCCATTTTAGGTAATCAAAGTTCTATATTCATAGAAGTATTAATACATAATATATATAATATTTGATACACTTATTAATTCGGAAATAATAATTAATGTATTGTAATTAGCCATAGTGAAATTAAAGTTAATTTACACCAAAATATTGGCTGAAGGTCAAGGTGTCTACACTACGTGAGCCGGGTATAACAAGCATTTACAAAGAGAATGTGCCGTGAGTCGCCCGCTCATGGTCTGTCATTACCTACTATATAGTGAATTTTAGTCCATTTTACCAGTTTTTGACCGCTTTGAGCCCCACCATGGCAGGGATGTACGGGGGTGAGGATGAATTTATCGAAAGTAGATCATGTTGTCGAGCGCAGGTGAGTTGTGAATCAGAGGAAGTACGTAATTCGTCATGACTTTCCTGGGGGATTGTCCTGGGACCTGTCATTAAGCAAGTTTATTTAAGCATGGGTGCACATAAGTGCAGTTATACAGATATAGGTGATTACAATTATTCATAGTAGCATGTGTAAATTACCTAGGACCCCAATGGAAATAAGTCTCTTCGTTTGACATTTTTGGGTTATCCTATATGTACACTTTGTACGGTAATTGTAGTCACCCAAATTTGTGAAGCTGTACCTAAATAAACTTACTAGGATAACTCCAAAAAAATCAGTGACTTATTTCCATTGGGGGCCCTTGTAATATCTCATTATTCAAGCGTAACTATAAATTACAGCAGAAATCAGTCATCATTATAACTTTAAAAATTAAAACAACTAAGTAACTCAACTCTGTGAAGATCGGGTACAGTAAAAAGTTACTATAGGAATAAAGTCAACCGAGTCATTTACAAGAGCATTAAATAGAGAAAATTAGTTTACAGTAAGGACTCCAATAGAAATAAATCACTGACTTTTTTTTGGGTTATCCTAGGTAATCTACACATATGCTGCTATGTATGACAAATTATGTAACTATTTATGTGTACCTGTATCTGAATAAACTTACTAATAGGTACATGAATGTTTACTATACTGAAAATCTCACTCCTTCCTTTCTGTAGCTTCATTCATTAGCAACCCTTTAGTTTTCTTCCTGAACTGGGTAATTCTAGGACTGCCTTTGACTTGTTCAGGCAATCTATTCCACTCCTTTATTGCTGTTTAATAAAAGGTGTTTGAGGCCTGACCACCTACTGTAGGTTTACCTGGAGTTTACCTGGAGAGAGTTCCGGGGGTCAACGCCCCTGCGGCCCGGTCTGTGACCAGGCCTCCTGGTGGATCAGAGCCTGATCAACCAGGCTGTTGCTGCTGGCTGCACGCAAACCAACGTACGAGCCACAGCCCGGCTGGTCAGGAACCGACTTTAGGTGTGTGTGTAGGTACTACAAAATTGTATTTACTTCCTGTAGTACTATACTGTTTTTGTTCCTCATTTTCACAAACTTTGCAGCAAGATATTCTGGGCACATCCTGTGAGTAACTTTATAATCAGGATTTAAATTTAACTACTTTACTCTGTCTTCAACATTCAGCATATCCAGTTGTAATTCATCCTGGCCTACACGTTCTCTTACCTGAAGTGGGTTTTGGGGGTCAACGCCCCTGTGGCTCGGTCTGAGACTAGGCCTCATGGTGGAGCAGGGTCTGATCAACCAGGCTGTTACTGCTGGCTGCACACAAGCTGATGTATGAACCACAGCCCGGTTGATCAGGTACTGACTTTAGGTGCCTGTCCAGCGCCTTCTTGAAGACAGCCAGGGGTCTATTGGTGATCCCCCTTATGTATGCTGGGAGGCAATTGAACAGTCTTGGACCAAGGTCCAGGATAAATCTCACCATTTTGTTCTGGGTGATTTGTAGTCTCTTTTTTTTTTTTTTTTTTTTTTTTTTTTTTTTGTTAAAGCCAAGTACCATGAAGAACAAGAATAATCTGCATGACTGTAAGAGCTAGACATAGGGTTGTCTGAGCCTTAGTATGTAGATGTGTCATTCTACTTACTATTTTTTTAATACTGGTCTATAGAATCTTTCCTTTTATAAACAGTAATTTGTCAAGGTGTTGTGATTATCCTTTAGACTGGGTGTTACTGTCATTGAAGTGAGTGAATCTGCTATTTTGTAGGACAGTAATGTAGTTTATTTACATTGCTCTTCTCATCACAGCTTGAAAGTTTATCAGTCCTTTTCTAATAGATCTGTATGTATTCAACTGAAGAGTGTAGGATTTAATTTTCATAAATATTTCTCCTCATTTTTAGATTGGTTGCCTGTGTGGGACGTCATCATGTCGCCTGTGCTGCCGTCTGTGCCCAAGTGTGTTCGAGTCTACATCAACAAGGATTGTCTACATAATGTTTCTCATGTTGAATGTGGGCATTATGGCTCTTATGATGTCAGTTCGAGTACAGAAAGCGATAATAGAAATGGTAAAATAATACATATAGTAGTAATATAATCTGGTGTCTAGTTCCACAGTGGCTGTGAAGTAGCAACTAATGCTATTTCCATGACTTTGAGGGGATTGCTTGGAGTGTTAGCCTGGCTTAGAGAAAGTTGGTTATGTAGCATTATTTGCTTTATTATAACGTACCTAAGTGCATAACTAGGGTTTTTTTTTAATTTGTGCACAAATAAATGTTAAGCTACTTCTGTCTGTATACATTATTATTGTTAATATTAATAGTATTATTATTTAAGTGAAGGCTGCTACTTCCACAGTCAGCTTGGTTTTAAAAATACTACATATCAGTGACCTAGTAAGTCTGAATGAACCAGTGATTTTTTTGCAAAGTATTGTAATTTGATGATCTGTGATATTTTAAAAAGAATTATAAAAATATTCATTATAATTTTACTGGAAATCTAACTACAGTAGTTGAGATGTTTTTTCATGTAAAATTGTTATAATATATTTTTAGTAGTATTTGTAAATGTTTGTAGGAACAGTCGAACATACCAGTGTAATCTTATAAATGCAGTCTCTCCTCACTTAGTGACATACTCGTTTACTGACGACTCAGACTTACGACGGGCTCTCTGACCAGAAACATACCTGAATAATGTATATATGTAGGACAAGCCACGAGGGGGTGGAAATCTTTAGCTCAAGTACTTTCACACTTCTCAGTGCATCATCAGGAGCTGTGCAATGTTGCAAGGGAGCAACCAAAGCAGGGAGAGAGGTCTCAGAGTGGCATCTAAGGGTCTAAGGGTAACAGTGGCTGGTGACATCTATGCTTTGGTTGCTCCCTTGCAGCATTGCACAGCTCCTGATGACGCACTGAGAAGTGTGAAAGTACTTGAGCTGAAGAGTTCCACCCCCCGTGGCTTGTCCTGCATAGTTAAGATTGCCCGTGTGCGATTGTTTGCATAATGTATATATGTATTAGAGCTGATTTCCTCTATTCTGTTTATTGTAATAGGCGGTATACTACTGTATAAACAAAAATATACCAGAAATGTTATAGTTGGTGCAAAGGTGACATTAAAACAATATCAGAGATGGTTGACATAAACTCACTACCATTGTTGTATACTCCTCACTTAGCAACAAATTCGTTTACCAACGTGGTCTTAGGAACGAAACTCCGTCGTTAAGTGAGGAGAGACTGTAGCCTGTGCAGAAAGTTATAACACCAGTGGGTTGACATCGTGACTGTGTGAATCATTTTATATATTTATGTGGGTCTAGTGGTATGTGAAATATTATAATGTTTATCTGGTCATTCTGTATAAACACTTAACACTACATATATCACAAGATTCACCTAGTAACCTTGTAGCTATTGCGAGGGTGAGATTTTTTTTTTTTACTGTGTACACCAGAGAGCCATATTTTTGTCTGTCATCATTAACCTCTCTTGTGACCAAGAAGAATAATGTCCAAAAGTGCAGATGAGGATATACCAGCTGTGATTGTCTTGCATAAGAGCGGCCATGATACACTTTATTTCTGCTTAAATGGGATCAAAATTGTGTTCGGTGCAGTGTCTCGTCAAACATTCATGACCAGGGAGAGACCATGGTTCAGTCCTTTATCCCAAGACTGGTAGCCCCTAATTAATCTAACCAAGGTCTCTGAAAGTGATTGGTCATCAGGTAAGGAAAATCCTTCCATCACAGCATGGAAGTGAAGGAGAAAAATCCTCTTGTTAATGGAGCAAATGACCCTCAGATGTCTTCAGTAGTCACTTTATGATGACTTAGGATTTAAAATATTTTTGTGTCCTCAGTAAACCTCTTCTTAAAATTCAGCAAAAGGAGAAGAGAGTAAAACATTGTAAGAAATACCATGAGTGGGTTTGGAGGAGTGGAGGGGAGTTTTGTAGTCAGATGAATCACTCTATACAGTGACTGATAGTGGTAGGAGGAGAGTGTACCAGGCACCTCATTGTGACCCACAGCTCCCACAGGAAACTTCCAAGACTGTAAAACACCCCTTTTCTCTCATGGTGTAGGGATGTTTCACTTACTGCATTGTTGGGGAATTAACATTAGGACATGTTTAGATAAGACACCTGCTGTCCATGTTCACCCATCAGTATAATGCGTACCTGGGTGCTAGTCAACTGGTATGGGTCACATCGTGGGACAAAACTGACCTAATTTGCCCGAAATGCTCTGCATAACAAGGGGCTTTCTGTATAGTAGTATGTCATTGATGTCAGCTAGGCCTGTATACCTTGTACATGTACTTGTAGAAATAAAGATATTATTATATTATTATTGTCATGAAGACTGCATGAGTGTTTGATGTTAAAAAATCAATAATTTGTTCAATTTGAGACAAACACTTTGAGCAGACAAAGAAAGGTTTTCCACTTAATGGCCTTATATTAAGGAAAAAGCCTTATTATACTGTAAAACAGTGTGTGAGGAGGAAGGACAGCTTGAAAATGAGTTAACATTTAGTTTTGGATAGTTTAACCAGATTAGAATGTGCATTGGGTAAAACAAACCAGCAGTGTGTGACAGTACCTGAGCACATCATTGTAACAATCAACAAATGAAGCTGCATCAACATACCAAGATCCCTAACTTTCAACATCACATCAACAATTTCAACCATCAACCTCAGCCCAGTAGGCCAACAGCCACCCTCTCCACTCATGTCAAGATGTTAACCATCACTAACCTGACTTGAAGGTAACAAATGCTGTAAAATATTAATATAACCATTTTATAGGTTCATGTAAACTTTTAACTGCCTAAACTTCACTAGAGTTAAGTATTTCCGAGCATGCTCACTGACAAAATTAGGTAGAAAAAGCAGTATTTTTAAAGAGTTATGATAAGTAGTAAAAAAAAAATTTGGGTTTTTTGATGTCTATAGCACACAACCCTATTTTTCCCATGTGTTTTTCAGTCCATAAGTTGCAGAAATCATCGCTAGTGCAGTTTTTAGGAATGTAACTCATGCAAATGATGAATACCCACTACTTTCCAAATACATCATGATGAGTCAGAATAATTATTTGGAACTTTTAGTGGATTATTTACGTGATTCCTTTGAAAAAGCCAACACTTCATGCAAGATGATGTTTCTTGTCACACTGCCAAAAATGTCAGAAAGTGATTGTGAAGTCCCTTATTTTAGTGACTGGCAGATAATAGCTCAGACCTAAACCCAATAGGAAATTTGTGGTCACTTAAAAAATGTTGCTATGGGCTGTGACACACCATCTATTGCAAGGTAGAAGCAGCTACTAAAGACATACCACCCTTCAAAATTTTTCTGACAAGTGTTCTTTGAAGGCTTAAGGACTGCCTGAAGCTTAAGAGGAATTCAGTCAAGTATTAACTTCAGTAGTAAGTGTTGTTTCACTTCGTTTACATTCCCTAACTGTAAAAAAATTTCATCTGGCATCATAATTTTCTGCACAAACTGTAGCGTTAATGTGTGTTTGCATTAAAATTGGGATGTAGGAATAGTATTCATGGAGATATTAAATTAAATGGTTACATGCTCTATAATGTTGTATAAAGGTTTTCTCTTTATTGATTTTTTTTTTTAGTTTCCACATCAAAAAATTGTATGTGAATGGGTAGGAGCTGGAGAAAACTGTGAGGCAGCAATGGGGTACATGGCTGTTTACAGACTTGGATTTGCTATCACTGCTTACCATTTTCTGCTTATGCTGATTACATGTGGTGAGTTTACAAACATACAATTTTTTTCTAGTTTTTCTTTATTATTAAGCTTATAAGTTTAGATTTTAATCATAAATATATATGATTTTAATCATAAATATATATGTATTGTGTATTGAAATAGTTTTAGTATATTTTTTTATGTATGGTTAAAAAACTTGGTTTAATGTGACTAGAAAGGAAGCCTTTATTAAAAAGTCAACTATATATTTTCAAATTTTCTGGATATTTGTAATTTGGTGCAAGAGGTTGGACCTTTGTTGTCAGTTTATATAGTTATGTAAAATTCTCCCCAGGTGTTAAAAGCAGTCGAGATTGCCGTGCTGGATTTCATAATGGAATGTGGTTTTACAAGTTCCTGATGTTATTGTTTTTCTGTTTTGGCTCCTTTTTCATACCGGATCCAAGGGACCTATTTATCAATGGTAATGTCGGGGATATATACTTTCATTTTTTTACTCTAGCTGTAAACAAGGCTTGAAAGATCACTATACAGTAATGGCACAGCAGAGAATATAGTAGTGGTAGATATTGATTATTTAATTATTAAGATAAAGTGGGTTGGTAAATAGCAACTATTTTGAGTACACTACTGTCCTGTCGTGTGAGCTTTATATAGAAGCCTGTTAAGTGCTTTACATTCTGGCAGGTTTAATAATTCTTTCTTTCTGTTTGATAAACTATTATGCTTGCTGTATTGATAGCTGACCCAGAGTAACTTCAAATGCATTTTGCATTAGCCTTGTGTGTATTCATTCGTATGTTGGTAAGGTAATTTTTTGCTTGAACCAGCTTGTGTGTGTGCATGCTCGTGTGTGTGACCCAGTTAATATTTGCACTAATAACTCATTACAATTGTGACCGGGTATGGACGTGTGAATTGCTCATTACTTTGTAATTTGTTCATGATTGTGACCATGTATAGATGTGTAGAGAATTCATTATCTTTGTAACTTGGTCATAATTGTGACAAGATCTATCTGGAGTTCATTATCTTTGTAACTTGTTTAGCTACCAAAACTTTGGGGCCCAGTCCCTGGACCCATTATGTATCTCTGTAATCCTTTGACTGCCACCCACAGGATGAGTATGGGGCACATAATAAAGATATTAAACTAACAACTAACCAGTAAATATGGAGGGTGAATGTTATGAATTTAAACCATTTCCTTTTGGAAATTTTTGTGTGTAAAGTAAATCTTACTGTACAGTGGAACCTCAAAAATCGAACTGCTCCCAACTCGACCAATTATGTAAGTGTATTTTTGTAAGTGCTTTTATAAGTGTATTTTTGAGGGTCTTAAATGGACTAATCTAATTTACATTATTCCTGATGGGAATAAATTCGTTTGGTAGTGGCACTTGAACAGCCTTCTGGACCGAAGAAAGTTCGATATTTGAGGTTCCACTGTACTTTTAAAAATAATGCAAATAACTATACTGTACATGTAAAAATAGTATAAATAGTAGTGTTTGAAATACATAGATATAATTAGGAGTTAATTGCCAGTGGTTTGCTCCTGGGCTAATAATTGAGGTGGGGGAAAGATGAGAACTTTCCACCCTCCTCCCCCAAGTTGACTTTCTGGCTGTTAGAAAGGTCAATAGCAAGTGTGAGTCAAGGAACAAAGTGGAGCACACATTGGATGCACACTTGAATGACAGGTCAATAAATGATATCTGAATTTTGCAGCATAATCCATCTGTGGCTTTTCAGACACTTAACTCTGTGATATACAAGATTCTGTTGACGTGAATCTTAGCCACACTTTTGTTTCTATTGATACTTTCCTTTCCCAAATTCACTAATCATCAGAAAACTTGTGATTTGATTGATCATGATTCTTTCCTCACTTCTCCTGACCTGACCTTGGCTGTCTCCTAACTACTTCACGTGATCTGACTTCTAGCTTTCTTCCCTTGTCTCACTCACAGTTTGATAAAGGTTTAGGTCAAACCAAAACCTCTTTTTGTTTATTAAAATAAAATGACTAAAAAAGCTTCATTAAATGAAATAAATTCTTGTTGGAAGCAATGTTGAATTTAGAGAAATGATAGAAAATTATGATGAACCAAGGAGGCTAATAGTGTAAAAGTGTTAGAGTGGAAATTTCTGAAGAGCAGTATTAGATGTAGAGCTCTTTAATCTCATGAGTATATCAAGAGGGTATTGCTAGGAAGGTAAAAATGATAGTGGAAACCTTGCTTGTTGAGGGGTGTGATAAAACAGTGTACACAGTTTTATAATCATTCATTCGTCACTAGTATGATTTTGATAGATAATTCTTAGTTTTTGTTTTGTTCACAGAAATACTTGGTGGTTATCCTTAATGGAAAAACTGTAGGTACGTTGTGTAGGTGGTGAAATGGTTTATTTCATTTAGAGAACATTGTCATGCTGGTTTTCTTTGTTGTAATATGTGAATGAATAGGTTGAAAGTGTGTAGGTTTAGAATATGGAAATAATAGTAATCTCTCTGCACCATTTAACATTTGAGTAGATTGAAATCATGAGCTATTTTGCATGTCTCCATTCATGTCATGACAGTGGACATTGTCTACTTTCCAGAGAAAAATTTTATTTTTCTGCATAAGAACAGTTTTTGACAAGTGCATTTTAACATCCCTAAATATTATTGTGAAACTTGAAAAATATTAATTCTTGAGGATTTAAAAAGGTCACAGTCATATTTGATTCCCCAGTGTGGATGTATACTGCAATGAGTGGTGCAGCTCTATTCATCGTTATCCAACTCCTGTTGTTGGTGTTCCTCTTCCATTCTTGGACTGATAGATTGGTTGCTCGTGTTAACAATGGTGGTTCTCCATTCTGGTGGTACGGAGGTAAGTGCTTTCATATCCTTTTCTGTTTATTTTGCTTTTATATCGCATTTAAGACAAAAGTTAACTGAAATTAAAACTCCCTAATTCCATTTTGTCACAATACATTTTTTCTTCAGTATTTCAAGAAATAAGTAGCACAGTTCCCTTTTGTAAAGCAAGAATAAATTTTAAAATATTTTTATTTTAGTAAGAAGATACTTTTAGTAGTTATTGTACTAGACTAGAGGCTAACTTTGTGCAGTATTAGGTATTTTATTCTAAACAAGCTGATTTTGATATGCAGTATATAAATCATTTAAAGGTCTGTTGGTTGCACATATTTTCTGTATGTAGTTTCTTTTTCAGTAATATAGATACAGGTTGGCCATCACTAATCTGGCATCATTGGGACCTGTAGGGTGCCGGATTAGTGATTTTGCCAGATTAGAGAGTGGTTAGGTTAGAATACACTTAATCCAAAGGCAACATTTACGCATTGGTGATTTCACCCACATTATGCTCTATTTTTGGCCCATTCCATTGTTCCAGTCTACCAAATTCATAACTATTTTGCTAGTATTCCTTCTGTTTTGTCAATTTGGCCAATTTTACACAAATTTCAAAAGATGCCAATTTCAAAATAGGGTCTAGAATAAACTATGCACATTCCTAGCACAAAAATAAAATTTTCTCTGTTTATTAATCACATCTCCAGGCCCCTCTTATATTATGCTGCTTTCCATTTTGAATTTTTATTCACACAAAAAAATAGATTTACTGTTATGCAAACTACTGCATTACCGTAATAATTGTATAAAAAATGTCAACCCATTTGTGACTGCGTATTAGACCATCCAGTTGGACACGGAGAGCGACATCATTTGTTTACTCTTGAACAACGGCAAGAATCAAACATTTCTGCTACTTTGAGCTCAGTTTTAAGGTATTTTCCGGTGTGAAACCAATCAAAATTATACAATGGAACCTTGGTTTTTGTATTTTCTAGTCTGTATGTAAAACTATAGTTTTTTTTTTTTTAACAAGTCGGCTGTCTCCCACCTAGGCAGTGTGATCCAAAAAGAAAGAAAATCCCCAAAAAGAAAATACTTTCATCATCATTCAGCACTCTCACCTCACTCACACATAATCACTGTTTTTGCAGAGGTGCTCAGAAGACAACAGTTTAGAAGCATATACGTATAAAGATACACAACATATCCCTCCAAACTGCTAATATCCCGAACCCCTCCTTTAGAGTGCAGGCATTGTACTTCCCATATCCAGGACTCAAGTCCGGCTATATAAAAATAACCGGTTTCCCTGAATCCCTTCACTAAATATTACCCTGTTCACACTCCAACATATCGTCATGTCCCAAATACCATTTGTTTCCATTCACTCCTATCGAACATGCTCATGCACGCTTGCTGGAAGTCCAAGCCCCTCTCCCACAAAACCTCCCTTACCCCTTCCTTCCAACCTTTTCGAGGACAACCCCTACCCCGCCTTCCTTCCCCTACAGATTTAAATGCTCTCCATGTCATTCTACTTTGATCCATTCTCTCTAAATGACCAAACCACCTCAACAACCCCTCTTCAGCCCTCTGACTAATACTTTTATTAACTCCACACCTTCCTCCTAATTTCCACACTCTGAATTTTCTGCATAATATTTACACCACACATTGCCCTTAGATAGGACATCTCCACTGCCTCTAACTGACTCCTCGCTGCTGCATTTACAACCCAAGCTTCACACCCATATAAGAGTGTTGGTACTACTATACTTTCATACATTCCCTTCTTTGCCTCCATAAATAACGTGTTTTTGTCTCCACATATACCTCCACGCACCACTCACCTTTTTTCCTTCATCAATTCTATGACTAACTTCATCCTTCATAAATCCATCCGTCAACATGTCAACTCCCAAATATCTGAAAACATTCACTTCTTCCATACGCCTCCTCCCCAATTTGATATCCAATTTTTCTTTACCTAAATCATTTGATACTCTCATCACCTTACACTTTTCTATATTCAGTTTCAATTTTCTACCTTTACACACACTCCCAAACTCATCCACTAACCTTTGCAATTTTTCTCTAGAAACTCCCATAAGCACAGTATCATCAGCAGAAAGCAATTGTGTCAATTCCCATTTTGTATTTGATTCCCCATAATTTAATCCCACCCCTCTCCCAAGCACCCTAACATTTACTTCTTTTACAACCCCATCTATAAATATATTAAACAACCATGGTGACATCACACATAACTGTCTAAGACCTACTTTTACTGGGAAGTAGTCTCCCTCTCTTCTACACACCTTAACCTGAGCCTCACTATCCCCATAAAAATTCTTTACAGCATTTAGTAACTTACCACATATTCCATATACACCTACCATCCAACTTACGACCTGCTTGACTTACGACCACTCGACTTACGACCATGTTTTTTATGCCAAATTTCTGGGAAATAAACAACTATTTGTGTTGTACACAGTGTTTATCCTAAACCTTACAGTATAAAATACAGTACTAACAGTATAAAAAGTAAAGTAAAACATGAAATGCCAAAATAAAACAATAAAATAAAGTCATTACAAAAATGTTTTGTTGATATTCAGTAGTAAGGTTCGACTTACGACCATTTCGACTTACGACCAGTTTCTCGGAACCGAACTCGGTTGTAAGTCGGATGGTAGGTGTACTTGCAACATCTGCCACATTGCTCCTCTATCCACTCTATCATATGCCTTTCCTAAATCCATAAATGCAACAAAAACTTCCCTACCTTTATCTAAATACTGTTCACATATATGCTTCAATGTAAACACTTGATCTACACATCCCCTACCCACTCTGAAACCTCCTTGCTCATCCGCAATCCTACATTCTGTCTTGCCTCTTAATTCTTTCAATTATAACCCTACTGTACACTTTTCCTGGTATACTCAGTAAACTTATTCCTCTATAATTTTTACAATCTCTTTTGTTCCCCTTCCCTTTATATAAAGGGACTATATATGCTCTCTGCCAATCCTTAGGTACCTTCCCCTCTTTCATACATTTATTAAACAAAAATACCAACTACTCCAACACTATATCCCCCCTGCTTTTAACATTTCTGTCATGATCCCATCAGTTCCAGCTGCTTTACCCCATTCATTCTACGTAATGCCTCACGCATCTCCCCCACACTCACATCCTGTTCTTCTTCTCTCCTAAAAGATGGTATACCTCTCTGGCCAGTGCATGAAGTTACTGCTTCCCTTTCTTTGTCGACATTTAAAAGTTCCTCAAAATATTCTCACCATCTACCCAAAACCTCCCTCTCCCCATCTACTAACTCCCCTACTCTGTTTTTAACTGACAAATCCATTCGTTCTCTAGGCTTTCCTAACTTGTTTAACTCCAAATTTTTTTTCTTATTTTCATTAAAATTTCTTGACAGTGCCTCTCCCACTCTATCACCTGCTCTTCTTTTGCACTCTCTCACCACTCTCTTCACCTTTCTTTCACTCTCCATGTACTCTACTCTTCTTATAACACTTCTGCTTTGTAAAAACCTCTCATAAGCTAACTTTTTCTCTTTTATCACACCCTTTACTTCATCATTCCACCAATCACTCCTCTTTCCTCCTGCACCCACCCTCCTATAACCACAAACTTCTGCCCCACATTCTAATACTGCATTTTTAAAACTATTCCAACCCTCTTCAACCCCCCCCCCCCCCCCCCTACTCATACTTGCACCAGCCCACCTTTCTGCCAATAGTTGCTTATATCTCACCCTATCAGCCTCCTCCTTTAGTTTATACACTTTCACCTCCCTCTTGCTTGTTGTTATCATTTTCCTCTTTTCCCATCTACTTCTTACTCTACTGTAGCTACAACTAAATAATGATCCGATATATCAGTTATATCAGTTATTCTCTATAAAATGTATTTTTTTTTTAACATTTTTGGGTGTCTGGAATGGATTAATTGGATTTTCATTATTTCTTATGGGAAATATTAACAAAAAATACAGTGGAACCTCAACTTACGAGTGTCCCAACTTACGAGTTTTTTGAGATACAAGCTGTCGCTTGGTCGATTTTTTGCTTCCCCACTTCCCCCTCAACCCACAACCTGCACACCTCACTTGTTTATCTATGATTTCATGCTTTAATTCCATGGAAATCATCCTCGTTTTCTTCTCATCACTGTCCTTTGCACTTTCTTTCTTAGGACCCATGGTTAGAAAAAAGAAATATGGTCAAATGACTGTAAATAATGTAAGCAAAGCATGAGAGAAATGCTTCCACAGAGATAAACAGTGCACTGCACCAACTAGTGGTGTTCTGAAATGCCTCATTATTATTATTATTATTATTATTATTATTATTATTATTATTATTATTAATTTAGAGAACTGGAGCACAGATTCAATTCCCTAGATCAAGAGCCCCTCACCAGTGTCAAGGTTCCTTGATGCTGGTGAGGGGTTCTTGATCTAGGGAATTGGATATGTGCTCCAGTTCCCATAATAATAATAATAATAATAATAACAATAATAAAAACAGAGTAGGGAAGTTAGTAGATGGGGAGAGGGAGGTATTAGGTAGATGGCGAGAATATTTTGAGGAACTTTTAAATGTTGAGGAAGAAAGGGAGGCAGTACTTTCATGCGCTGGCCAGGGAGGTATACCATCTTTTAGGAGTGAAGACGAGCAGAATGTAAGTGTGGGGGAGGTATGTGAGGCATTACGTAGAATGAAAGGGGGTAAAGCAGCTGGAACTGATGGGATCATGACAGAAATGTTAAAAGCAGGGGGGGGGGTATAGTGTTGGAGTAGTTGGTACTTTGGTTTAATAAATGTATGAAAGAGGGGAAGGTACCTAGGGATTGGCAGAGAGCATGTATAGTCCCTTTATATAAAGGGAAGGGGGACAAAAAAGATTGTAAAAATTATAGAGGAATAAGGTTACTGAGTATACCAGGAAAAGTGTACGGTAGGGTTATAATTGAAAGAATTAGAGGCAAGACAGAATGTAGGATTGCGGATGAGCAAGGAGGTTTCAGAGTGGGTAGGGGATGTGTAGATCAAGTGTTTACATTGAAGCATATATGTGAACAGTATTTAGATAAAGGTAGGGAAGTTTTTATTACATTTATGGATTTAGAAAAGGCATATGATAGAGTGGATAGGGGAGCAATGTGGCAGATGTTGCAAGTATATGGAATAGGTGGTAAGTTACTAAATGCTGTAAAGAGTTTTTATGAGGATAGCGAGGCTCAGGTTAGGGTGTGTAGAAGAGAGGGAGACTACTTCCCAGTAAAATTAGGTCTTAGACAAGGATGTGTAATGTCACCATGGTTGTTTAATATATTTATAGATGGGGTTGTAAAAGAAGTAAATGCTAGGGTGTTTGGGAGAGGGGTGGGATTAAATTATGGGGAATCAAATACAAAATGGGAATTGACACAGTTACTTTTTGCTGATAATACTGTGCTTATGGGAGATTCTAAAGAGAAATTGCAAAGGTTAGTGGATGAGTTTGGGAGTGTGTGTAAAGGTAGAAAGTTGAAAGTGAACATAGAAAAGAGTAAGATGATGAGGGTATCAAATGATTTGGATAAAGAAAAATTGTATATCAAATTGGGGAGGAGTATGGAAGAAGTGAATGTTTTCAGATACTTGGGAGTTGACGTGTCGGCGGATGGATTTATGAAGGATGAGGTTAATCATAGAATTGATGAGGGAAAAAAGGTGAGTGGTGCGGTGAGGTATATGTGGAGTCAAAAAATGTTATCTATGGAGGCAAAGAAGGGAATGAATGAAAGTATAGTAGTGCCAACACTCTTATATGGGTGTGAAGCTTGGGTTGTGAATGCAGCAGCGAGGAGTCAGTTAGAGGCAGTGGAGATGCCCTGTCTAAGGGCAATGTACGGTGTAAATATTATGCAGAAAATTCGGAGTGTGGAAATTAGGAGAAGGTGTGGAGTTAATAAAAGTATTAGTCAGAGGGCTGAAGAGGGGGTGTTAAGGTGGTTTGGTCATTTAGAGAGAATGGATCAAAGTAGAATCACATGGAGAGTACAGTGGACCCCCGCATAACGATGGCATCACATAGCGATTTTTCCGCATACCGATTACTTTTATCGCAAAATTTTTGCCGCGCATACCGATTAAAAACCCGCTTACCGATTTTCGTCCGAGAGCGTCATTGCCCTCACATGTGCCGGCCGTCCATTGTTTACCAGCCAGCTCCGGGTAACATCCGAGCAACACTGGATATTTCGTTATTACAGTGTTTCGGTGCTGTTCTGGAAAATAAGTGACCATGGGCCCCAAGAAAGTTCTAGTGCCAACCTGTGGTAAAACGGTGAGAATTTATGGAAATAAGAAAGATTTTGAAGGTTTGGGCTAACCCTGAAAAAGCCTAGCACTTGTGGAATCCTTGTGCCTACTTCAAAGATTAAGGAAATGTGGCAATGGGTTGAACTGCAAACCTTTATAGATGAAAATCACCCTGACACAGCTGTTGCAAGCCTGCGGTGACTAAATTCAATGACAATGTTTTGGCCATTTTAGGAAAGTCTTGAAGGAACGGAGTACAGACTCTATGGACGATTTGTTGTGCGACAGAGTCCCGTGACTCTCAGTGGTCCTAGTGGCCATTAAAAGAAAAGGAATAACCCAGAAAAGACTTGCTACCTCAAGTCCTAATGGAAGGTGATTCCCCTTCTAAACAGTAAGAAGATAATGCTCTCCCCTCCTCCCATCCCATCAATCATAACAGATCTTCAATAAAAGTAAGTGTCATAATTGCATGCCTTTTTCATTGTTTATAAAATAACATTTCATGTGGTAAAAAAAAATTTTTTTCATACTTTTGGGCGTCTTGCACGGATTAATTTTATTTCCATTATTTCTTATGGGGAAAATTCATTCGCATAACGATTATTTCGCATAACGATGAGCCCTCTTGCACGGATTAAAATCGTTAACCGGGGGTCCACTGTATTTAAATCTGTAGGAGAAAGAAGGCGGGGTAGGGTTCGTCCTCGAAAAGGTTGGAAGGAAGGGGTAAGGGAGGTTTTGTGGGCGAGGGGCTTGGACTTCCAGCAGGCGTGCATGAGCGTGTTAGATAGGAGTGAATGGAGGCGAATGGCATTTGGAACCTGACGATCTGTTGGAGTGTGAGCAGGGTAATATTTAGTGAAGGGATTCAGGGAAACCGGTTATTTTTATATAGCCAGACTTGAGTCCTGGAAATGGGAAGTACAATGCCTGCACTCTAAAGGAGGGATTTCGGGATATTAGCAGTTTGGAGGGATATGTTGTGTATCTTTATACGTATATGCTTCTAAACTGTTGTGTTCTGAGCACCTCTGCAAAAACAGTGATAATGTGTGAGTTAGGTGAAAGTGTTGAATGATGATGAAAGTATTTTCTTTTTGGGGATTTTCTTTCTTTTTTCGGTCACTCTGCCTCAGTGGGAGATGGCCGACTTCTTGAAAAAAAAAAAAAATAATAATAATAATAATCCTAGATAGGTTGGTAGACAGCAACCGCCCAGGGAGGTACTACCGTCCTGCCAAGTGAGTATAAAACGAAATCCTGTAATTGTTTTACATGATGGTAGGATTGCTGGTGTCCTTTTTTCTGTTTCATAAACATGCAAGATTTCAGGTATGTCTTGCTACTTCTACTTATACTAGGTCACACTGCACATACATGTACAAGCTTATATATACATACCCCTCTGGGTTTTCTTCTATTTTCTTTCTAGTTCTTGTTCTTGTCTATTTCCTCTTATCTCCATGGGGAAGTGGATCAGAATTCTTCCTCCGTAAGCCATGAGTGTTGTAAGAGGCGACTAAAATGCCAGGAGCAAGGGGCTAGTAACCCCTTCTCCTCTATATATTACTAAATATAAAAGGAGAAACTTTCGTTTTTCCTTTTGGGCCACCCCGCCTCGGTGGGATACGACCGGTGTGTTGAAAGAAAGAAGAATAATAACGAACGAGCTTCAACTCCCTAAATTAATAATAATAATTATAATAATAAAAATAATAATATATGTGTAATAATAAAGAGGAACCTCAGAATGCTGCCACTAGCTGGTGCAGCGAATGCCTAAACATCCAGTGATCAGTGCACTTGCGTTCCTCGCCGTGGAAGCATTTTTCTCGTGCTTTGTATTCATTTTTTAGTCATTTGGCCCAATTTCTTTTTTCTAACCATGGGTTCTAAGAAAGTAAGTGCAAAGGACAGTGCTGAGAAGAAAAAGAGGATGATTTCCATGGAATTAAAGCATGAAATCATAGATAAACATAAGCAAGCGATGAAGTGTAGCATTAAGTGTGTAGCAAGTAAATCAGTGAAGAGTGAAGTGAAAAAAAAAGTAAAACAAATTGTAGCAGTTAAGTTCAGTGATAATGTGTAGCATTTAGAGTGTAGCAAGTAAGTTAAGTGATTAAGTGATAGAAAAAGGGTGAAATGACACTAACTCTTCCAGTGTTATTTTGGGAAGTTTATAGGGCCACTGACTGTCTCCCACCCTCAACCTCCACCACCATCTGTGCTCAAAGGTAAGTGTGTAGGTACACTTTATATAAACAGTTTATTTCGTTACATTCTCTGTTATGTTTTATTATGTTTTTATAGAATATTTCTTATTTATAAATGCATTGTTTCAGTGTTTTCCTTATGAAACTAGTGATCTAGTGCAGTTAGCCTCACAAACACTCAGTTTTCTCCTATAATAAGAGCCTGGGAAGATGAAGTTAGAGTGGGAGAGGGAATGGCTGCCGCTGCCGCCACCACTCGCCATATTATGGACTATTTTATTCATTCTAGTGTAGATATCATGTTTCTGTGTTAATTACAGTGGACCCCCGCATAACGATGGCATCACATAGCGATTATTTCGCATACCGCTTACTTTAATTGCAAAAATTTTGCCTCGCATACCGCTTAAAAACCCGCTTACCGATTTTCGTCCGAGACGCGCTCACATGTTCCGCCGGTGGCATTGTTTACCAGCCAGCCTCCGCGGTAACATCCAAGCATACAATCGGAATATTTCGTATTATTACAGTGTTTTCGGTGCTTTTTCTGGAAAATAAGTGACCATGGGCCCCAAGAAAGCTTCTAGTGCCAACCCTACAGCAATAAGGGTGAGAATTACAATAGAGATGAAGAAAAAGATCATTGATAAGTATGAAAGTGGAGTGCATGTCTCCGAGCTGGCCAGGTTGTATAATAAACCTCAATCAACCATCGCTACTATTGGTGGTACAGCTGCTGCTGCTGCTGCCTGTCAGCTGCTGCTGCTGCTGCTGCACTGTCAGCTGCTGCTGCTGCTGTAGCACCGTTTTTGGTGTGGCTTATTGAGAATACCAAGAAACAATTAACCCCAGAGGATTTGCCACCCAGGATAACCCAAAAAAGTCAGTGTCATCGAAGACTGTCTAACTTATTTCCATTGGGGTCCTTAATCTTGTCCCCAGGATGCAACCCACACAAGTCGACTAACACCCAGGTGAACAGGGAAAAATGCCTGGAACTAGTGCTCATATTGGTGAATTTAAAGCCAGCCAAAGGTTGGTTTGAGAGATTTAAGAATCGTAGTGGCATACACAGTGTGATAAGGCCTGTTCTGGAAGAAAATGCCAAACAGGACCTACAGTACTCAGGAGGAAAAGGCACTCCCAGGACACAGTGTCTCATCAGTCATTGCTGCATCTTCAATAAAGGTAAGTGTCATTTATTCTTCATTTAGTAGACTAGTACATGCACAATATATACTGTGCATGTACTACTCTACTATTGTGCATGTATCCTTCTCTTTGTGTGTGGGAAAATGTATATTTCATGTGGTAAATTTTTTTTTTTCATACTTTTGGATGTCTTGCACGGATTAATTTGATTTCCATTATTTCTTATGGGGAAAATTCATTCACATAGCGATTATTTCGCATAACAATTACCCCTCTTGCACGGATTAAAATCGTTAACCGGGGGTCTACTGTATATTGTTTATTATGTCATATTAGATGAATTGTGATAGATAAATAAGCCATAGAGTTGACATTAGCATCATATTGAAGTATTTTGTCCTGCTTCCAGAGAGCAGGAATTCCTCTGGAATGGATTAATGGCATTTCATTTAATTTAAATGAGGAAAATTTATTTGATATATGAGCAAATTGAGTTACGCGCTAGGTCACGGAATGGATTAAACTCGTAAGTCGAGGTTCCACTGTACATTGTATAGAGAATAACTAGAGCTTTACATATAGACTAGGGCATACAAAAACTGAGGTTCCACTGTATCTATTTCTGTAATGTATCTTCCATTCTTTCAAATGAGACAAAAAAAAAAAAGAATACAACCATACAAATCATACGAAAATACGCTGCAGAATTGCTATTTTACACCAAAAGCACAGTCACTTTTTTTTTCTCTTTATGCTGCAGGATTTTTTTTTATATAATGCACATTTACCACACAGACCTATTTTCTCATATGTAGGCCCAAGTTTACCGGTCACAGCTTATCTGAATGAGTTGAGCTCATAGCGACCAACACTGGCTTCAAAGCCACCTTATCTTTTATGGATATTGTACAGTGTATGTGATTTACACAATGAGAAGCATTTCTTTTGTTCTTTAGAACCATGGCTAGGGCTAAAAATGAGCAGGTTATAACAATAAATGGAGAAAAAGAAATTGGAATGACTTATGCAGCTAGTAGTGCCACCAAACAGTAGTGGCAGGTTGGTGTGGCAACCCCGGAAATTGGAAGTTATGCTAGCTGAAATTAGTGCCGGATTACTGATTGCCGGATTAGTGATGGTCAACCTGTATTTATTTCATTTTATTATTAGATATCCCTATAATATTTAATATTCTCTGCTACAGCCATGAAAGATTGATTCCATTAACAATTAGTTTATTTCAACTGGGAAAGTGCTTAAGCAGTAGGGGTCATTTAACACCTTTGGAGTGGGAGACATTCAGATTCGATCCGTTTTTCTTAAGAAAGCCTGTATGCGTTGAAATCAGACTTAAAATGCCCTTATATGTTAATATAACAAACTGGATAGCTTGAAGCCATTTTTTTCATTGTTGGCTCATTGTTTTCATGATGTCACTATAGCTTATAAAGGAAACATCACAAAATCACTACACAAGTCATAGTTCCACATGATGTGCAGGAGTACCAAAGTTGAAATTGCAGGCTTGGACATAACCTCTTCACTAGTTTTTTGATTATCTCATTTGTTTAGTAATACAGCGTAGTGAGAGAACGCGGAAGAGCAAGTGACCACGAGAGTGTGCAAGGGGTGGAGGCAGCACAAGGGAAAGAGAGGGGAGAGGTTGGAGGGAAAATCATGAAAGGGTATATGTTTGTTTATGATTTATTTGATGAAATTGTGTGCATTGTGTATTGGGGTAGGAGGCAAGGGATACCTAATGTCTTGTTGCTTTAGCTTGTTTTTGCATTATTTTTATATAGTGAATCTAGGTGCATAAATTTTTTGTTAGTTTTTTAGAAATTGTTTTTTATATGCTTAATTAATCAAGTGACAGGACTTACAGTATTTTTAATATCACTGATCCTGCATTGTTTCCCATTTTCCCTACAGCATTGGCTCTGACAGCAACAGTGTTTATATATCTTGCATTTGCCTGTAGTGTCTTTCTCCTGTACTATTTCTTCGCTGCCTCCGAGGGGTGCAGTCGTAACCAGTGGTTTATAATCATCAATACTACTGCCTGTATTTTTGTATCCATAATGTCTGTAGTGAAACCAGGTAAGATGTGTGCATGGTAAATCTCCTGAATGTAAATAAGCTGAAGGATGGTACAAGGGTAATTGTTGGTTCATATGTTTTAACCTGTAAACGGTCCAAACGTATATATACGTTTTCTCAACATTTGATAGTATGTAAAAAAAGTAGCTCTTTTTTTTTTTTACATTTGAAAATATGTAAAAAAAAAGTAGATCTACTTTTGGAGCACTACTCATGTGAATGTAGATCTGCTTGGACCGTTTACGGGTTAAGCATGTAATAGAACTATTTTTCCCATTCATAAAGTACAGTATTTTAAGTATTGCAATATTTAAAGTATTGAATTGGTTAATTTTTTGTAAAATGTTGAAACTGGCACTTAAAAAACTGTTTTTAGAGTCACAGGTTCTTTGATATTACTTAAACAGGTCAACTCTTGAGGAACCTGTTTTTTTTTTTTTTACTACAAAACTGTCTTGCATATCTCATTGCCAACTATGGCATATTTGTGGCTTAATTTTATGTTAGTCTGCTTTTTTTAATTTTTAATCAGTTTTTGTTTTTTTTAATTGTCCATCACACACCAAGGTTGTGTGACTCACTACAGGAAACACATTTGCCATCGTTCACACAATCATCATCTGGCCAAAAGTATGCTGATATCACAATTCAGATTACCCTCCAACTGCAGCATCTGCACCCTTTCTTCAAAGTGCAGGCACTGCCCTTTCAACCTCCAGGGCTCAAGTCTGGCTGATTGGTATTCCCCGAATCCCTTCATATGTGTTACCTTGCTCACATTCCAATTGCACATCCACTAAAGAACACTTTTCTGCACTCCCTATGATCAAATAGGCATGCAGAAGCCTAGTGGATGCTCAAATCCCTCCCTCCATCCATTCTTGACATGACCTCGCCCTCCTACCTTCCACCCCCTTATTTGGGCATTCTCTTCATCATCCTATACATCTCCATCCTCTTAACTTTTTTATGCATTCTGTATTTTTTTTTTTTTAACAACTTGGCCGTCTCCCACCGAGGCAGGGTGACCCAAAAAGAAAGAAAATCCCCAAAAAGAAAATGCTTTCATCATCATTCAGCACTTTCACCTCACTCATACATAATCAGTTTTTGCAGAGGTGCCCAGAACACAACAGTTTAGAAGCATATATGTATAAAGATATACAGCATATCCTTCCAAACTGCCATTATCCCAAACCACTTTAAAGTGCAGGCATTGTACTTCCCATTTCCAGGGCTCAAGTCCGGCTATATAAAAATAACCGTTTCCCTGTATCCCTTCACTGAATATTACCCTGCTCACACTCCAACAGCTCGTCAGGTCCCAAATACCATTCGTCTCCATTCACTCCTATCTAACATGCTCACGCATGCTTGCTGGAAGTCCAAGCCCCTCACCCACAAAACCTCCTTTACCCCCTCCCTCCAACCTTTTCAAGGACGACCCCTACCCCGCCTTCTTTCCCTTACAGATTTATACGCTCTCCATGTCATTCTACTTTGATCCATTCTCTCTAAATGACCAAACCACCTCAACAACCCCTCTTCAGCCCTCTGACTAATACTTTTATTAACTCCACACCTTCTCCTATTTCCACACACTGAATTCTCTGCATAATATTTACACCACACATTGCCCTTAGACAGGACATCTCTGCCTCCAACCGCCTCCTTGCTGCAGCATTAACAACCCAAGCTTCACACCCATGTAAGAGTGTTGGTAAAACTATACTTTCATACATTCCCTTCTTTGCCTCCATAAATAATGTTTTTTGTCTCCAAATATACCTCAATGCACCACTCACCTTTTTTCCTTCATCAATTCTATGGTTAATACACAAATAACCCGCACATAAAAGAGAGAAGCTTACGACGACGTTTCGGTCTGACTTGGACCATTGACAAAGTCAATGGTCCAAGTCGGACCGAAACGTCGTCGTAAGCTTCTCTCTTTTATGTGCGGGTTATTTGTGTATTGTTCCAGTCACGGCATTGTGCCTTTTTGTTATTTATTCTATGGTTAACCTTGGAACAGAGGACCCCCGACTTACGATATTAATCCGTTCCTGAGAGCACATCGTAGGATGAAATTATCGTAAGTCGAATTAATTTTCCCCATAAGAAATAATGGAAATCAAATTAATCCATTCAAGACACCCAAAAGTATGAAAATTTTCTTTTTACCACATGAAATATACATTTTCCTACAAACAGAAAGAAGAATACAGGCACAATATATATTGTGCATATACTAGTGTACTAAATGAAGAATAAATGACACTTACTTTTATTGAAGATATAGTGATGAATGATGAGACACTGTGTCCTGGGAGTGCCTTTTCCTGCTGAGTAATGTAGGTCCTGTTTGCTATTTTCTTCCAGAACAGGTCTTATCACACTGTGTATGCCACTACAATTCTCAATTCTCTCCAACCAACCTTTGCTGGCCTTAAATTCACCAATATGAGCACTAGTTCCAGGCATTTTTTCCTGTTCACCTGGGTGTTAGTCGACTGGTATGGGTCGCATCCTGGGGGACAAGATTAACCCTTTGAGGGTCGACAGGCCCTCTCCGAAACTCGTTCTCAGGGTCGGCCAAATTTAAAAAAAAAAAAATTATTTTCTCTTATGAAAAGATAGAGAATCTTTTCCCGATCATAAAGACACCAAAAGTTTGAAATTTGATAGAAAACTTACGGAATTATGCTCTCGCAAATTTAGCGGTCTCGGCGATGTTTACGCATCGGCGATTTTGCCCACTTTGAGCCCCATTTTCGGCCAATTTCACTGTACTAGTCGACAAAAAACATGAATATTTCGCTAGAACTCCATTTTTTCTATCGAATGGGTGCAAGAAACCTCCCATTTATAAATTCAACTATCCAGTACAGTGGTCAGAATTTAGCAATTTTGCCAATTTCACACAAATTTCAAAAGATGCCAATTTCCGAATAGGGTCCAGAATAAACAAGAAAGACATTCCTGGCACTAAAATGACATTTCCTCTAGTCATTAGTCACGTCTCAAGGCCCCTCTTATATTCTTTTGCTTTCCACTTTGAATTTTTATTCTCACAAAAAATATAAGATTTACTGTTATGCAGACTACTGCATTAGTGTAAAAAATGGTATAAATATTATTGGTGCACTTGTAAAAGAATATTAGACTCACCAGTTGACGTGTATTGCACGCTTGGCACGATTTGTTTACTTTTGAAGTTTGGTAAAAATCGAACATTTCTGCTACTTTGAGCTCAATTTCAAGGCACCTTTCATTGTAAAACCAGTCAAAATCATCTCAATTTCTGTAATATGTCTTCCATTCTATAAAATGAGACCAAGAAAACTAGAATACAACAATAAATACCATACGAAAATACACTGCAAAGTCGCTGATTTATTAAAAAAAATGGTCAAAGTTTTTTTTTTCTCATTATGCACTGTGTGCTGCGGGATTTTTTTTAGACTGTGCACACTGACCACATAGACCCATTCTTTCATATGAAGGCCTACCAGCTTTCTCCCACTAGATTTGAGGCCGCTAGAATTTATGAGTACTAGTACGTCAAAAACCCCTACGCGTAAAACGTACTAGTACGACCAAAACCCTCAAAGGGTTAAGGACCCCAATGGAAATAAGTTACAGTCCTCGATGACACACTGACTTTCTTGGGTTATCCTGGGTGGCTAACCCTCTGGGGTTAATTGTTTTTCGGTATTCTCGATAAGTCACACCAATAACAGTCTCTCCACATCTTTGAGTAGTGCAGCTGACCATGGTGCAGCAGCAGCTGATGGTGCTACAGCAGCAGTAGCAGCTGACAGTGCTACAGCAGCAGCAGTAGCTGATGGTGCTACAGCAGCAGCAGCAGCAGCTGACAGTGTTACAGCAGCAGCAGCAGCTGACAATGCTACAGCAGCAGCAGACAGTGCTACAGCAGCAGCAGCAGGTAATAGTGCTACAGCAGCAGCAGCAGCTGACGGTGCTACAGCAGCAGCAGCAGCTGACAGTGCTACAGCAGCAGTAGCAGCTGATGGTGCTACAGCAGCAGCAGCAGCTGACGGTGCTACAGCAACAGCAGCAACTGACGGTGCAACAGCAGCAGCAGCAGCTGACGGTGCTACAGCAGCAGCAGCAGCAACTGACGGTGCTACAGCAGCAGCAGCAGCTGACCATGCTACAGCAGCAGCAGCAGCTGATGGTGCTACAGCAGCAGCAGTAGCAGCTGACGGTGCTACAGCAGCAGCAGCAGCTGACGGTGCTACAGCAACAGCAGCAGCTGACTGTGCTACAGCAGCAGCAGCTGACAGTGCTACAGCAGCAGCAGCTGATGGTGCTACAGCAGCAGGTGACCGTGGTGCAGCAGCAGCTGATGGTACTACAGCAGCAGCAGCAGCAGCTAACTGTGGTGCAGCAGTTGATGGGGCTACAGCAGCAGCAGCAGCTGACCATGGTGCAGCAGCAGCAGCTGACCATAGTGCAGCAGCAGCTGATGGTGCTACAGCAGCAGCAGCAGCTGACCGTGGTGCAGCAGCAACGGACCATGGTACGATAGTATTTCGATAGTATTTCTCACCCTTTTTACCACAGGGTTGGCAATAGAACCTTTCTTTGGGTCCATGGTGACTTATTTAGCAGTTACAAGCACTAAAAACACTGGAATAATACAAAATTTATCGAATGTATGCGTGCAACTGTCCGCTCCGGCTTGTAAACAATGTCACATTAGCTCAGCTGAGGCGCTCAGGCCAGACGGACCAGACAGCCGCGTTCGGGACGAATGATGTAAGTCGAGTTTTTCAACGTAGGTCAGGGTCAAATTTTTCGCTGACAAGCATCATAAGTCGGTTTTAACGTAGGTTGAGGACATCATAAGTCGGGGGTCCACTGTATAAATATCTGCAGGTAATATCCACTTGACGATATTGATATTCACAAAAATGTGTTAAGTGAATTTTTCGGCAGACTTGTGTTGTATAATATAATCAAAGGTGCATCTCAGGAGAAAATTCAGAATGTAGTACTTACGAAGATTGTTATTTGCTAAAAGACTTTAATTACCCATACTGTACATTATTTAAATTACTGTATATTATGTAATTTATAACTCCACTTGCTCTACCTATCCAAGCCTTGTAGTGATTTATATTAATTTTATTTCCTGTTTTGCATAGGATTTTTGTATTGGGCATTAACATATGAATATTGTTAATGCCCAATACAAAAATATTGGTAAATTGTTTGTATAAAGTAAAAACTTTTTAGGGCATGTACTGATCCTTGTAAGATATCATTGGTAACATTTTCAGATTTTAGTCTTGCACTACGTGTACTATCAAATGCATTTGGAAAGTTAGGTAAAGACAATCGAATGTGCATTTCTTTATTGTGAAGTCTGTGACATATAGTACAGTAGCTAAACAGATTTAATGTACAGTACAGTAATTTGCAAATCTAAATCAGAACTTCTTGATATTTAGTATTCTATTGATCTTAAGGTGCTTTATTTATTGTTCATGAAATGACCTTTTTTTTCCTAGAATTTATTTTATTAGTGTTTGTCAGTGAAATAGGCCTATAGCATATAGAAACAAATGAACCACATGAATATCAGGAAGTGTTTTTCAGTCCAAGTGATCTGGAAGTGGAATGCTTTTACAGAAGTGGTGGAGGCAGGCTTAATACATAGTTTTAAGAGCAGGTATGATAGGGCCTGTGAGGCTAGGAAGGAGTGAATCTGGTAAACAGTAAGTTGAGGGGCAGGGGTAGGAGTTAGGACTCAACCTTTGCAACCCCACACAGGCAAGCACTAGCATGTTTTTGTGCTGGAATGACATTGTTGGGAAATAACCGGGAGTTGACCTGGTAAAAGGGTTAAAATTCTGTATATTCATGTAGGTTTTCTACCTTGAAATAGACTGAGGTTGTAGCAGTCATTTTTCTTCCTACCTCAAACCTGTCACAATACTTCATCCCAACTTAATTTAAATTTAAATTCTTTATATGATTGAAAATATCATGCTATTGTTTTCCCAAATTTTATGTAGTGATCAAGTATCTGTGTTGTGATATGCCACATTGACTCCCTTAAATTTCAATATCCGATAAATCTTTCTTTAAATATCTAAATCTTAATTTTGTGCTGGAAACATACATGAGCTAATTTGTATATTTGTAAAGAACTATACTTTTTGATCAGTCATCAGTGATTATAGGATTTACTTATGTAATGCTGATCTGCACATTAAGTGCTTCCATCTTCAATATTGCATTTCCATCTGCCACATACAGTACTACACACCTGTCAACCATGACAGGATTTATGTTTCTTTTCATTATTTGCTTCATTTACTTTTTTATTTATTTTTTTTTTCAAAATTGTCTTTGTCTTTTTAGTAATTTTAGTTGCCTTTTGCAAGACACATGGCTTATGGGGTAAGAATTCTAACCCACTATTCTCATGTCTGAGGGTAATTTGAATTGTGATGTCAGCACACTTTCAACAGGACAGCAGTTGAATAAATAATGGTGAATGTGTTTCCATTTTTGGATTACTGCTTTGGTGAGAGATGGCCATTGAAGTAAAAAAAACTTTGTTTTATTTCTCTAGATACATGAACAGTCTTCTCATAACTAAATAAAGTTCCTCTTCACTAGAAGCTTTACTTGATACTATTCCCTTTATACTTTCAGGGTACAAAGATGTCCGCCTCCGACTCCTCCACTCATCTCTTATTTCACTCTATGTTATTTATCTTACCTGGAGTGCCATTGGAAGTGCTCCCCGGAAATACCAGAAGTACGAAGAAGAAACACATGGTATTTGGATAGGTGCAGGGCATGATGTGAGGTCAAATATAATTTTACCAGAACAGGAATACTACTGTGGTCCAGATGGTGAGGAGGAAACCTGGGCAGATGAAGTCCTTCCCTATGTGAGTCTTGTCATTACTTTTGTTTTGGTCATGTATTCTGCTGTTGGCACAGCATCCCCTGATAACTGTCAGGCCATTGAATTTCCCAGTTGTCCCTCAGATCAGAGTGTTCAGCGCCATGATGTCGAGGACATAGGAGGGCAGAAAGTAGTTCGTAATGAAAATAATTCCTTAGCCTACAGTTATCCATTGTTCCATGTCATGCTTGGTCTTGCTACTTTGTTTTTAATGATGAGCCTTACTGCTTGGTATACACCATCTACTGCCAGACTAGTGACATTTGGTCGGTCATGGTCAGCTGTTTGGATCAAAATGAGTTCAAGTTGGGTATGCCTCCTGATCTATCTCACAGTAACAATTTTTCCTACAATGCTCCCTAACAAAAGCTCTCGAACTGGCCCAATGCATGGAACTATTAGTAATGGTTATGCTGGTAGCTTTCGGAGCAGTTCTAGGAGCTTGGATGATGATGAAGCAGCTGTCCCACTCTCGCCAAGTAAACCAACTACCACAGTCCACCAGGAAACAACTGTGTAACGTATTGTTAGAAACTTTCATTAATTATAGTACAGGTATTTAAAATTGGACAGGTGTGATTTCTCCCAGTTTATAGTTAAAATCTGTAATTACAGTGTACCAAGTGATAGGGAAAGTAATATGCCAACTTAGAATCACTAATTGTGATACTTCACTACATGAAGTGTTATATATTTTTTCATATATTTTCATGGTCTGTAACATTTACCTCTTATGATAATATTAATGACAGTAGATGATGTATCAAGGAGAAACATGGATTTGTTGCTTTATTTTAAAATTCTTTTTGTAATAACAGTATCATTCATCCTGTTTTAAGATTGAATGATGTAAAGTAGGGCTTACATGAAGCATCTGGAGTGGATAATCAGATGAAAACATGCCCAGTTGTGCACTGCAAGAGGCCTACTGATTCCTGTTAGGCCTCTTTTGTTCCTAGATGATGTGTGCTATGGGAGTCGCCACTGAAAACACTCCACAACTTTGTTTTATCATACATTAGTTTTATTGTAGATAACTCCAAACACATAGGTTTAATCTTGTCATTTCCTTTGAAATAGTAGCCTGGCTCTGTCTCATGCTAAGTTGTGAGAGTGAGTGTTAGTAAGTAAGTAAGTAAGTAAGTAAATTTATTCAGGTATACACAATACAGTTACATAGAATTATCATACATAACAGCATATGTGTAGAGAACCTAGGATAACCCAAAAAAGTCAGACAGAGTGACTTATTTCCATTGGGGTCCTTTTACCTTATTATTATAATATAAAGGTTATAATATTTTCTTATTATTCTATAATGAAGATAACATCTTATTATCATACTAAAAAGACTATCTACTACACGAGGGTCATTAAGACTATCTACAATACGAGGGTCATTAAGACTATCTACTACCCAAGGGTCATTACGACTATCTACAATACGAGGGTCATTACTAGGGATAAGGTAAAATTTACACGTATTTTAGCTAAAAAATAGAAAATCATTCCCCTCCCTTTCTGTTGCTTCATTCATCAGACACTTTTTGGCAGTCTTCTTGAACTGGTTCAAGCTATGACTGGCCTTGACATTTGTGGGTAGTCTGTTCCATTCCTTTATTGCTGTACAATAAAAGGTGTTTGAAGCCTGGCCACTGACTGTGGGTACTACAAAGTTGTGCTCTCTCCCCCTAGTACTATGATTGCTTTGGTTCCCAACCTTGACAAAATTGACAGCAAGATATTCTGGACACTGTTCGTGAGCAATTTTATAAACATGATTTAGCTTCAGTTGTTTTACTCTGTCTTCAACATTCAGCATATCCAACTGCTGTAATTCATCCTGGCCTACATGTTCTCTTGGTCCCAGCCCCAGGATGAATCTTACGATTTTGTTCTGGGTGATTTGCAGTCTATCTTTCAGTTTTTTTGTCAAGGCAGAGTACCAAGAAGAGCAAGCGTAATCCATATGGCATTGTATAAGGGCTAGACATAGGGTCCTGCGAGCCTCAGTAGGTAGACACTGTGCTTGTCTATACAGGAACTTCAGCCTGGCATTCGCTTTCTTTACTACACTGTTCCCTATCAATTCTCCTGACATGCATGGGTCAAAGGGGATTCCCAGATATTTAACTGATGAAACCAAAGTGATGGACTCCCCATTACACTGAACATTAAAATTATTTACCCTTCTCAGTTTATGTTTCGTTCCAAAGAGAATGGCTTCAGTTTTCCCTAGGTGTTGTGGTGTTGTACATGTGCATTATTGATATTGTCCATTCCACAGGCTTGTGTGTTCTTGTAGGCATATGGAAGGCTTTCAACAGTTTCTCTGATGTTAACTTGATTATGTCTTCCACAGGGAATGCTGTAGACTCCTACATTCTTGGGTCCAGCAACAGCCAGTTCTGTCACCTCCCCCCATATTATGCAAATCAAACATTCAGAACCATCAGAAACATCACAAGGCCCTTTACACCCTACACAGGACCCAAGGATGCAGGAGTCAACAGCATCCCCCTATGGTGGATGTGATCAGGTTTACATCAGAGACACTGGTAGAGGTTGTCCCATATACCTACAAGAACTCTCATATTCTACAGAATATTCAGCTTCAACAATTCATGTGTACAAAATCACATAATTATTCCCACATCATGGCATGGGACAGAGCCCAGCAGCTGTTTCAAGAAAATAACAGAATTAAACTTAGGTCTTGGAGCTGTGTACAAACACTATATAACAAAACTGGTATTTTCACATTGCCAATCTTCATGGGATGCATCGTCTTGGAACAAGGAAGCCTAGTGTGGATCATTAGGCCTCTTTCAGTGCTCTACTGAGCATATTTTTACCTGATTATCCACTCTGGATACCCTATATAAGCTTATTATCCTCATTGTTGTATATATTTGATATAGCCCACTTGTAGGGTAAATGTTATAGCAATATATTTCTCGTGCTCGTTGGTCAATATAATACAGTGAAACTGCCATTAATTGAAAACAAAAAAATACAGTATTTGCATCTGGGGGAGCTTTAGTTCCCCTGGTGACTGCATCACTGTCTCAATATAACATGAGTGTTTATGGGAAAATAATTTCAAAATTTTGTTCTAGTTACAATTTCCAGGAACATGTTAATGTCATATAATGTCCTGTTGTTTATTCTGCTTGAATAGCCCTCTCCCCATCTCTTCCCTTCTTCTACCTCCCTCCCTCAAACCTCCCCTTCCCCCTTCCTTATCTCTCCTCCTTTCCCCTTTCACAGTCTTTCATTGACACCCATCACACATGTAGACAGACCTACATTTTAAGCTCAGCTCCCTCAAATAAGCTGTGATCAGTAAATTTTGGCTTAGACATAAGAGAATGGTTGTTTGGTGAGTGCATACAGTATGCAATAAACTTCTGTTTCATGTGGTCCATGATGGGAAAGGCCAACTTTTCACCTTGTTTTTTGTTTAAAATGGTGACTTTGAGGTGTTTTCTAAGACGTTTTTTATGGTTATATTGGTTGTTTCTTGGTATCAATTGATAGACTGGAAAACATACTAGTGAAGTAGAGATGGTTTTGATCAGTTTTGGGACTGGAAGTAGCTTGAACTAGGGCTCATTCTGGCAAAAATATTTGATTTTTAGCAGTTTTTCTTACTATAGGTAGGGTTTTCTGATCTGATTTATGGGTTTTTACTAAGTCTGCTTCAATTATTGAAACTGCCTAAAGTATGACCAATCATTCTTGATTATTGTGTATTATCTGAGAAGTAGCATAAATGAGATTTTTTGTGATGTATTCAGAATCGAGGGCAAGTGTTATATAGGAGAGGCCTGGGGACATGATTAATGAATAGAGAAATGGTTGTTTTAGTACCTGGAATAACTAGAGGGTTCATTTTGGACTGTTTTTAAATGGATTTTTTTAATTTTGTATAAAATTGGCCAGATTTTTAAATTTTGTGCACATTATAGGGTAATTCTGATAGTTAAATAAGTGGTTTCTTGTGATCAATCAATAGAACAAACAGAATATTAGTGAACAAACTAATATTGGAATTGGCTTAAAGTAAAACTCAATGTAATCACCAATATGTCAACTGTACTACGTAATTCCATGAGTCTTACATCAGATTTTCTTTTTTTGGTGTAATTATCTCCAGAAAAAAGTTCTCTGACATTTCAAAAGATAATTTTTTTTAAATCTTGAGACAGCACTTTTAATTTCAGGTGTCCTAACAGTGAAAGGGTTAAATGTCTATAGTTATTCAGGAATGTACTGTGAACTGTATTTATTAAACAACTAAATGTGCAGCAATTATTGCTAATGATGTTTCAGGTTATGGCATAATCTGAGCCAATGCATTTAATATTTTTATTATTTGTCTGGTAGCTATCTCTTAATACTGAACGTTCAGTAAAGAGTTATATTGTAGTGTATTGTCATAAGGCAGCTTGCTTCAGCTATAATTTATTTGAATATGCAATACAGGAGATCCTCTATTTAACGGACTTCAGTGTACTGTAATGGACTTCAGAAATATGGGCCAGAATCCACAGTTTTTTTATTCAGGTAGTATGAATAAAACCCTTTGATTGCAGAACTTTTGATTATTTTTACAACCATGGCAAGACAGTCTCCTCTACCATCACTATTGCCAGTATTAGCTGTCTATTCCCTCCTATCAGACCGTTAAAACAAGGATTTGCTGTTTTGTTTTCTTTAATCCTGATGTACTGATATGTTTTTAATTTCATGTACAGTTGACCCCTGACGTACGATGTCCCCAACCTACATAAAAACCGGCCTACGATGCATTTCAGCGTAAAATTTTGACCCCAATGTACGGTGAAAAACTCGACCTACAGCATTTGTCTCGTACGTGTCCCCACGTGTCTGTCTGCCTGAGCACGCCTCAGCTGGCCTGCCTTCAGTTAGTGTGCCAATATTTACAAGCCAGAGTGGTCGCTCCCACGCATACATTCGGAACATTTTGTATTATTCCAGTGTTTTTAGTGCTTCTAACTGCTAAATAAGCCACCTGAGCCCAAAGAAAGCTTCTAGTGCCAACCCTGTAGTAAAAAGGATGAGAAATACTATCGAAATACTATCGTACCACGGTCAGCTGCTGCTGCACCATGGTCAGCTGCTGCTGCACCACGGTCAGCTGCTGCTGCACCACGGTCAGCTGCTGCCGCACCATGGTCAGCTGCTGCTGCTGCTGTAGCACCATCAGCTGCTGCTACACCGTGGTCAGCTGTACTACTCGAAGATGTGGAGAGACTGTTGTTGATGTGGCTTATTGAGAATACCGAGAAACAGTTAACCCCAGAAGGTTAGCTGCCCAGCATAACCCGAGAAAGTCAGTGTGTCATTGAGGACTGTCTAACTTATTTCCATTGGGGTCCTTAAGCCTTTCAGGGTTTCGGCCATACTAGTACGGCTTACGCCTCAGGGTTTTTGACGTACTAGTACACCTAAATTCTAATGCCCTCAAATCTAGTAAGAGAAAGCTGGTAGGCCTTCATATGAAAGAATGGGTCTATGTGGTCAGTGTGCACAGTATAAAAAAAATCCTGCAGCACACCGTGCGTAATGAGAAAAAAACAACTTTGACCGTGTTTTTGGATTAAAGCAGCGACTTTGCACTGTATTTTCGTATGGTATTTATTGTTGTATTCTAGTTTTCCTGGTCTCATTTTATATAATGGAAGACATATTACAGAAATTGAGATGATTTTGACTGGTTTTACAATGAAAAGTACCTTGAAATTGAGCTCAAAGTTGCAGAAATGTTCGATTTTTACCAAAGTTCAAAAGTAAACAAATCATGCCAAGTGTACAATACATGTCAACTGGTGAGTCTAATATTCTTTCACAAGTGCACTGATATTATTTATACCATTTCTACACTAATGCAGTAGTCTGCATAACAGTAAATCTTCTATTTTTTGTAAGAATAAAAATTCAAAGTGGAAAGCCAAAGAAATATAAGAGGAGCCTGGGGATGTGACTGATGAACAGAGAACTTGTTATTTTAGCGCCAGGAATGTCTTTCTTGCTTATTCTGGACCCTTTTCGGAAATTGGCATCTTTTGAAATTTGTGTGAAATTGGCAAAATTGCTAAATTATGACCATTTTATTGGATAGTTGAAATTAGTAAATGGGTGGTTTCTTGTACTCATTCGATAGAAAAAATGGAGTTCTAGCGAAATAGTTATGATTTTTGTCGACTAGTACACTGGAATTGGCCGAAAATAGGGCTCAAAGTGGGCAAAATCGTTGATGCGTAAACATCGTCGAGACTGCTAACTTCGTGAGAGCATAATTCCGTAAGTTTTCCATCAAATTTCATACTTTTGGTGTCATTATGATTGGGAAAAGATTCTCTATCTTTTCATAAGAATTTTTTTTTCTTTTTTTTTAAATTTGGCGACCCTGAGAACAAGTCTCGGAGAGGGCCTAGGGACCCTGAAAGGGTTAATCTTGTCTCCCAGGATGCGACCCACACCAGTCAACTAACACCCAGGTGAACAGGAAAAAATGCCAGGATCTAGTGCTCATATTGGTGAATTTAAGGACAGCAAAGGTTGGTTTGAGAGATTTAAGAATCGTAGTGGCATACATAGTGTGATAAGGCCTGTTCTGGAAGAAAATGCCAAACAGGACCTACATTACTCAGGAGGAAAAGGCACTCCCAGGACACAAAGTGTCTCATCAGTCATCGCTACATCTTCAATAAAGGTAAGTGTCATTTGTTCTTCATTTAGTAGAGTAGTACATTCACAATATATATTATGCATGTATCCTAATTTTTGTGTGTAGGAAAATGTATATTGCATGTGGTAAAAAAAATTTTTTTTCATACTTTTGGGTGTCTTGAACGGATTAATTTGATTTCCATTATTTCTTATGGGGAAAATTAATTCAACCTACGATCATTTCATCTTAGGAAGGGCTCTCAGGAATGGATTAATATCGTAGGTTGGGGGTCCACTGTACAGCAACTTTTCCCTGTTAGTAGAGATTTTGTATTGTACCAGTAGGGTCAAAAAACAGATCAAAGACAATGTTTGTTAATTCTATATATCCACTCATTATTACCATATTTTTTTAATTAGAATAGGTTGTTGAAAAGATGGATAATATCATTAGTGTTAATTTGTCAGGTTTACTGACTACTTTTATTCCATAAGCAGAGTAAAAGTGTATTTTTGTTTTATCATGACATTCCTGGTGTTGACTTTGTGTGTGCATGCTCAGTACATACAGTAAAAACATACACAGAGTACATACTGTGTAGGGTGGGTGGCTGTGATGGAGGGATTTTAGAATGTCTTTATAAAGCCTGGTGATCTTTGACTGAATTTACTGATCCAGCCTTCATATGCAGTGCTTTATTCTCTGGGTCATGTTCCTGGCTGTTTCCAATTAATTGCTTCAGCCATTTTCTTTGTTAACCCTGAGAGAAAAATTGCTTTACTTTCATTGGTCTTCTGTCTAGATCATTAGTACACCAGTTCTTAATACTTGTCTTCCTTGTCCTTCCAATTAGGACTGCCACATGGCTTCTTAAGAGTTTATTTTTATTATCCAATATACTTTTAATTAAATTTTACTAATAAATATTTATTTTTATAATATACATGTATTACATTCTCCATGGGGAAGTGGAACAGAATTCTTCCCCCGTAAGCCATGCGTGTCGTAAGAGGCGACTAAAATGCCAGGAACAAGGGCTAATAACCCTTTCTCCTGTATATATATAACTAAATTTAAAAAGAGAAACTTTCCTTTTCCTTTTTGGGGCACTCTGTCTCGGTGGGATACGGCTGTTTGTTGAAAGAAGAATATGTTACATAGTATGGCTTTAAAAACTAGAATCTCTTTAGATTTAGATTTTATTTTATGCTAATGGCATGGTATATTTGTGCATTTTTCTGGGAAGGTGGTCCATAATTTCCATTTGATTCTCAAAGAGGACTCAAAAAGGGGTTAAGAATCTTTGATGTAGAGATGGTAAAAAGCTTAAATTAGAAGATTTTTTTAAAACACCACTCTTTGGTATTACCAATAAAAAATACACAAGTTGACAGTGATGATAACTTATAGTTTTGCATTTACTCCATAAAGTCAGATTTCCATCCATCACTGCTATTGGTACAGTGTACTCTTCTGAGCTTAAGGGTCTGCCAGATCTTTCAACTATTAAACATTGCATGTGTTAAATAATACTGATCTCAAAAATTACTTTTTGCTGAAACTAAATTTGTTATACAGTATTTTAGTAGTGAAATATATGTGGGATACTTAGTAAGTACTCACACAAAAAAAATAAGCGGCACAAGAAATGCATAAATGGTGTGAATTACAATCAGTGAATAAAAATATTTGTATTGCATTCACTGAAGGATTAATATTGAGTTTAATGTTTGGTAGCCCTCTTGATGTTGCTTTTGTTGCTAGAAATAATTTACATCTAACTTAGTGATAATTTATAGACAACCAAGGTTGACTGATCTACTGTCTGAGTCGGATTTTTGCCACTGTTTACAAGTTAATATATGTAGTAAGATTTTTGCAGTAAATACAGTGCTCTACTCTACCAAAGTGCTCTTATATTTTTTAAATGATTACTTGAGAGAGATACTTTTAGGTTCAGCTTCTTATTGATTATCAAATTGATCTGATTTGCTATTTATGTAGGAATTTCATGTATAGATTAATAATGTGAAAGTGTAAAAGTACTAATACAGTGGACCCCCGGTTAACGATATTTTTTCACTCCAGAAGTATGTTCAGGTGCCAGTACTGACCGAATTTGTTCCCATAAGAAATATTGTGAAGTAGATTAGTCCATTTCAGACCCCCAAACATACACGTACAAACCCACTTACATAAATACACTTACATAATTGGTCACATTCGGAGGTAATCGTTATGCGGGGGTCCACTGTATTACTTGGTATGTTATTAGTCCTTAACCATTGACTTGTACACAGCTAGTGCTCTTTCATGTTTACCGTGAAGTATATAGAACTAACTGCTCTTCCATACCTTTTATTTAATTTATACAATCTCACTAAGTGGAACATGAAATTTGAAATGTTGCACTTATATTTCATATTCAGTATTTGAACAACTGTACAATATATTATGAGCCTAGATGATATGTCAAGGGATGTTTTTCAGTCAAAAAACCTGCCTTGCATATTTACCAGCTCATATGTAGAGTTGAAATATTTTCATTGAATGTTAAGCTGTAATAATATAATTGAAAAATTCAGTAATCCCATGTAGCTTCTGTTTGCTTAGTGTAATTTCACTTACAGGATGCATTAGGGAACAACTTTTCTTAACTGCTGTATTTGCTTCCTCCCTGACAGCCTTTTGTATTGGCTTTTGTTACCAGTTTCAAAGAAACATGAATTAAATTTTAACACTTCTTAAAGGATTGAAAAAAAATGTGCCAGTTACACACATGCCAAGCAGTCATAAGCAAACAATAGAAAAAAAAAAACATTTAGTAAAAACAATATCCTCAATACAATAAAATTGAAAAATCTACATTTTTAATCTTAATATTTACCAAAAAATATGAGCATACATACCATATAACCCTTGTAGGTTTAGCACTTCTTTTTTGATAATAATAATAATAATAATAAAAATAATAATGATAATACATACCATACGTGGATCAAATGGTCAAATAAAAACTGAAAGACTGTTTTATAATATCTTGTCAGAATTGCAGTTTGTACTCTTATTTATCAAATCATGTTCATTACATGTTTATAGCTCATAAGGGCCTGTCTTTTTTAACACATCGGTCATCACTTAAATGACCCTCTGAGCTGTAACATCCCCACACCTCCCTCATACTTCCCACCTCTAGAACTCAGGTTGAGCTAACAGGTTTTCCTGAATGCCTTTATAAATGTTACCTTGCTCACATTCCAACAGCATGTCAAACCATTCATACCACACTAGTCTTTGACCTCCACATATTCCTCCTTCAGCACATCCCACCCTGCAGTGCTATATAACCCTTTTGGGTTCAGCACTTAGTTTGATTATATTATTATTATTATTCTTTCTTCTTTCAACACACCGGCCATATCCCACCAAGGCAGGGTGGCCCAAAAGGAAAAACAAAAGTTTCTCCTTTTACATTTAGTAATATATACAGGAGAAGAGGTTACTAGCCCCTTGCTCCCGGCATTTTAGTCGCCTCTTACAATACGCATGGCTTACGGGGGAAGAATTCTATTCCACTTCCCCATGGAGATAAGAGGAAATAAACAAGAATAAGAACTAGAAAGAAAATAGAAGAAAACCCAGAGGGGTGTGTATATATATGCTTGTACATGTATGTGTAGTGTGACCTAAGTGTAAGTAGAAGTAGGAAGACGTACCTGAAACCTTGCATGTTTATGAGACAGAAAAATGGACACCAGCAATCCTACCATCATGTAAAACAATTACAGGCTTTCGTTTTACACTCACTTGGCAGGACGGTAGTACCTCCCTGGGTGGTTGCTGTCTGCCAATCTACTACCTATATTATTATTATTATTTTATATTAATACCAATAGAACAATACAACACAGTACTTAACAAAATGCTTTATGGCCAAGTGAATTCTCAGAGAAGTACTCAAGTCTTAATTAGCCTTTTTTAAATGCAAACTAATGGAACTCATTTTGGCTTAGGTTAAAGCATAATACTTTTGTACATTATAACATTGAAGCAATGCAAAAAAAGAAAAGCACTTTGAGCCCTGAGGTACTCTATTCTTAGATTTCATAACTAACTGCTAGTTGAATTAATGCCACCTTCCTAGCACATTTGCCTCGTTTGTTAGTCCAGCATCACACAGACAACACTGGGTAGCCTGATGAGATCTGGTAGAGTGAGCGTTTGTGACAAATGTTGTATGTTAGAAACAAAAGATGTTAAGTATGTAGCAAGCATTCCCAAGTGTATCAGCTATCAAATGTATAAAAAAAATATTTGAACATTAAACTGGGATTACTTGTAATTTGCATTTAATGTAGGCCCATGAAACACTTCATAAACTGCACGCTTCTGCAGTGTCCCTGTCAAATTGTATTATTAATTGTTTTCTGCAAAAATAACTTCTGTGTTGTCTGCCCAAAGGTGTTTTAAATTTATTATATGACTACAGAACAGTACTTGTGTCTGAGTCTTCAAATAATTATAGTGTATTTTGGTATCAAAATGTCTGCAGTATACTACGAGATATAGAATAGAATTAAGTATGTTTGAAAGTCAAAGGGAATTTTGTACATAGCTAAATGTCTTCACACATTTTTTTAAGATTTAGCATAACATGTAAATGAGATCAGGATGAGAGTTGTTAACATACAGACATGAAACAGTGAATCCCAGACACACGTAAATGTGCTGTACTGTCCATTTAGGGATTTGCCCTTGGCAGCAGTCTCTTAAACCACAACATAACACACTATACTTTTCTCCTAGAGAGAATAATGTTATGGAAATTTCACTAGTTAGTGCATAGTATAATAGAGCAAAATTGATTTAAAGGAGGTTTCACTAGCTAGTTGGCACAAATATAATTTGTTTCATTTTCTTCCATTAGATGTATAGTAACAGAAAATAAAAATTACAAATCATACTTCCCATTCAAAAGTAAAATGATTTACTTCCATGAAAGTGCCACATTCACTCATTACTGTTTCCTGTAACTAGTCATATAATATTGAAACACATTTATTGAGAGAATGGGTATACGTAGTAAATTACTATTATATGTTATAGTTGTCAGGATAATTACTGCTAGATTCCTGAAATGTAATTAGGGTATAAGTGATGATTTTCTTATGTAAATTTGTGTATCCTAACATTACTGTGTTGATTACAATACTTATAATTTGTAACTAAAGTAGTGTGTGCTGTGTCATTGTTATCCATATTTTTCTTTTCATATTTTTTTTTTTTTTTTGCTCTTATGTTGTATGATAAAATTTAGAAAAGTCTTTCATTATATCATATGCCATATTTATAAGATTGCATTACTCAAATTAATTACAAGATTAAACTCAGATTGTCATATTTTAATAGTGCTAACATAGGTATTGACTTTAAGTTCTTTTGTGTGTTACGATGGACTTCATTTCCAGTAGGTATCTAAAGCAGAAAATTTTAGCTGTAGTACAGTACTATAATGAAAGATGTACTTCAGATTAAATACAATTGCTATTTCACTGGAATTCTTAGTTGAAATATTCTTGTTTATTGACATACTTTTTTCTAAATTAAGTAAAAATAGCCTTAGGAGCATCTAACAATAGCATGTAGGTTTTATTTGATATTATTTCTACAAAACAGGCACCTCTTTTCTTAAAAGCAAAGAGTGTACATGTTAAACTAATATCACTTCCAACTTGGTTCAGTGAAGGCCTTATTATCCTTGCACCACATGACAGTTAGAGCACATCTCAATTTCAACCTGAGTTAGTTATCTAGCTTGACCAGTCTTATATAGGAATTCTCTTGTACCAACAATGTCAAACAGGCATCTGTGTGGGGTCTTTTTTTTTTTTTTATCTTTATTGAAATCATGGTTATATAATAACAATAAATGGAATGGATGATTGACACATAAATTATGTAAAAAAATATGTGCCGTTTAATTGAAGATGTGCCTGACTTTCAGTTCCGATTTTGGAAAGGATATAGTTATTACACATTTAGTGGTAGGTTTTGTTAGCCTGCAAGGAATAATCTTTTTTTGTACATAGCTCTAACTTTCTCTTTGAAAGTAGCTCCTCTGTGTAACTTGATATACTATGGTGTCAAATATATAGATTTTGGATTTTGTAAATTCTGTAACTTCATTATTGATAATCTTGCTTTAAATATGGTTTGGTTAAATTTTTCATCTAAATTTCCATTATTTTTACTGTTGCCATAATCATATTCAAGACTTTTGCAGTGCACAATAGATTTTTAAAATAATTAAATTCTACACAAAATACTTTATCATCAAATAACACATGTATAAGATAAAATTGCTTGTGTTTTTATTAATGCATGAAGTTTGGTGCATAGTAGTAATCTGCATTTTATTGGTATCTGCAATAATATCCTTGCCTTGTGGATTCATTTGTAAGTCTGTTATTTGTAATGGGCTTCATCATTAGAATTGACTTCTTTATTACGTGTATGTTTTGAATAAGCTGCATTTATTAATGAAGCAGGAAAGATATTACTACACTTGGTGACATTTGATTATCAGTTTGATATACTGTAGTTATTTATTGGCCAAAAGATTGTAGGTAGTGTGACCTTTTAAGAAAATCTTTTTTTTTTTATAAATTGTATGAAAGGATTTTATATATGGATTTATAATTTTATGTTTATTTTTAAGATATATTTCAGGTCATTTGACTTTTTTAAAGAAATAGGTTTTTCCTAACCGTATTTGTTTTGAAAATAACAGACCATTTACTGTTTTTTTTTTCTACTGCAAATATTTTAAAAAAATTTTCTTGTTAAGCTAATGGGGGCTTTTGTAGAGCTGACATTTGTGAGCGACGCTTAATTGGTGTTTTTCATTACTAGCCCATTATCTTTGGTTTGCATTAATAATTTATGAATCTGAATTGTATATAAATTTTAAACTCTCCTTTTACAAAGTTTGTATTGTATATATGCCTGATGGGGGGATTCGGTCTCAGTGCCATTGCCTTACTGGGGGGCTTTGGGCTTCTAGGATAGCTAGGGTTTTAAATTTCCTTTCAAGGGAGGCCCCCTTTGGGGTGGTAAAGGGGCTTTTGGTCTGGGAATTAGCCCTGTCGGTCTTTTCTCAGCCCGAACCTAATTCCCCCCCATTTTCCCCTCCCCTATCCCCCCTCCCCATCCCCCCCTTTTTATTCCTCCTCTCCCCCTCACCCCCCTTTTTGCCCTTCTTTTTTGGGGGCCTTTGGGATTTTCCCCAGGCGCGCTATTTCCCTGGGTGGGGGAAAGGACACTGGGGTCCACCCATTTTTGGGTTTTGGCGGGGGGTAGTTTCCCGGGGAATCTGGTTTGCCGGGGGATGTCCGATCCCTCCCGATACCCCGGAGTAGTGTTTGGGTGCTTTGGGGCGAGGGTGTATCCGGGGAAGCCCCCTTTCAATTGGGGGTGGTGGCCGAAGGAGGTATGTTTTGTGGCGGAATCCGGGCCCGCCCCTCTTTTTGCCCACGAGGTACTCGGCAGATGTGGGTTTTGCTATCCGGATTGCTGGTTTATGGCATGAAGGGTAGGGTAGGGCAGGTTCCTGCGGGTCTGCGTACTAGCGGTGTTGGGCCTCTTGGCGGGGGGGGATTTTTCCGGCCCCTTTCATTCCTCCGGGAAAATTTTCCTCCCCGCCCCCCCCTTTTTTTATTTTTTTTTTTTTTTTTTTTTTTTTTCTTCTTTTTTTTTTTTTTTAAAAAACAAAAAGCAAAGGAGAAAACCTAACCATGGCAGCCCTGCCCAGAACCCATACCCCGGGCCCCTTTTTGATCCGCCCCCCATTCGCCCCTCCCTTTGTTTGACCATCTTCGGCCACCCCCTGAGCCCCTGTACCTCTTGCGGTGCTGTTTCCTCCCTTCAGGTATGGGCTTTCTGATCTTCGTTTTTGTCGAACCCCGCTCCTTTGATA